ACGAATACCTTGGAATCTTTGTTACCGCGTATCTAGACGATGTACTAGTGTACTCTAGCGGCACACGCGAAGAACATGTTGAGCATGTTAAGAAGGTGTTACGGAAGCTTAAGGAATACAAGCTATACCTTTAACTAGGAAAGTGTGAGTTTCACACTCAGAAAATAGAATTCCTTAGATTTATTATCTTAACTAAAGGAGTGAAAATGAACCTAAAGAAGATATAGACTATACAGGAATAGCCAAAACCTAACATAGTTAAGGATGTTTAATCCTTCTTAGGATTTACGAACTATTATTGAAAGTTTATAAAGGATTACTTAAAGATCACAGCACCCCTTATAGAGATTACGAAAAAGGAAATAGGTTTCAAATAGGAACAGGAACATTAGGAAGCTTTTGATCGAATCAAGCAGATATTCCTAGAGGCGCCAGTACTTAAGATGTACAACCCTTAACAACCCACTAGAGTCGAGACTGACGCGTCTGACTACGCACTTAGAGCTGTATTATCACAACAGTGCCTAGATAAGAGATAGAGACTAGTGTTCTACCATTTATGGAAGTTCTTAGGAGCAGAACTTAATTACAATGTTCACGTTAAGGAACTACTTAGAGTAGTCGATGCCTTTGAACAATAGGAAGTGTACCTGTTAGGACTCCCTAACACGATCGAGGTTTTTACCAATCACTAGAACCTAACAAGTTTTATAATAACTAAGAAACTCAACTAACGACAAGTCTAATAGGCGGAGACGCTTGCTTAGTTTAACTTCAAGATTACGCACCGCGCGGGAACGCTTAATAGAGCAGCAGACGCTTTGAGTAGAAGGTCTAATTTGCGCGAAGAGGGTCATAAGGAACCACATGACGCCCTACTTAAGACGATGCCCAACGGCAGTCTAAAGTACAACCAGCTGGAACTAGCTAAAGTAGCTAAGGTGGCCGAGCAGGTAGAAACGCTATAGCAGTAATGGCAGCGGAAAGCCACAGAATGGATCCCTAAGGAAGGAGAAAATAATCTCGCCAGACTATTACTAGATAAGCGAGAACTTCAGGATCCGAATAAGGTATATGTACCTGAACATATGAGATCGAGTCTTATTAAGGAACTGCACGAGTCTAAGGAATACGGACATGCAGGAGTCGACGAAATGGTTAGACGACTGTCTAAGGTGTTTGCGATACCACGTATGCGTACGAAGGTGCAGGAAATACTAGGCAACTGTTTGGCATGTCACTAGAACAAGCCCAAGAGACATAAGCCCTACGGCCTGTTACAACCCTTATAGCCACCATCTAGACCATGGACAAGTGTAACAATAGACTTCATAGTGAAGCTCCCGAAATCGAGAGAACCAGGATCCGGACGATTATGCGACACAGTCCTAGTTATCGTATGTCGATTGACTAAAGGAGCAAAGTTTGTGCCTATAGAAGAGACAATTACGGCAGACGAATGCGCGTACGAAGTTTCTAAGGCAATAGTGTTAGAGCATGGGATACCTGAAGAGTTTATCACTAATTGTGATAAACTATTTACGTCTAAATACTAGAGCACGTTCTTGGCAAAGTTAGGTGTTAAGAAGAAGCTTTTGACAAGCTTTCACCTAGAAACAGACGGCTAGACAGAAAGAACAAACTAGACATTAGAGCAGTACTTACAAATGTACGCCAACAAATTGCAAGACAACTAGGTAGAGTTGCTACTAATAGCGCAATTAGCCTACAATAGCACGAAATCCGCAACAACGAAACATTCGCCGCACTACGCGAACTATAGATATAAGCTAGTTGCTTATCAAGATCTAAAGGACATTAAAAGTATCGCGGTAGGAGTAGACGACAAAGTGAAGCTTATGCGAGAACTATACGAAGAATTAAGCAAGAATATAGCTTAACAGAACCTTACAACATCTAAAGCAGCGAATAAACTAAGGATTAAGGGACTAACCTTTAAGAAGGGGGACAAAGTTTTCCTATTACGACAAAACCTGAAAACTAAACGACTATGCAGAAAATCAGACAACCTCTGAGTAGGACTATTTAAGATCCTAGAGGAAATAGGAAAAGTAAACTACAAGTTAAAACTCCCACAAGGCATGCGAATCCACCCTGTCTTTCACAAGAAACTCCTAGAACTAGCACCTTTAGATGCTAAGCTAGCAATAGACATAGAGCTTAAAGACGACGAGTACGAGGTCGAAGAAATTAAGGACCTGCGGAAAATCAGTAGTTAGTGGAAGTACTTGGTCAAGTGGCAAGGATGGCTAGAGAGCCATAACACTTAGGAACCTAAAGGAAACCTAATAAACTGCAAGTCACTAGTACGTGAATACTACTAGAAGCACCTAGAGAAGCGAGGGGTACCCCCTCAGAGAAAAGAAAGGAATAGTCAAAAGAAGGATTGAAGGAGTCAGCCTGTAACCAGCCCAGATCAGCCGACGGTTTGGATAGCGGTGGTTCGACAACAGGAAGGCCCGTACCTGGGGCAGAGTTCCCCTCAGCCTGCTCTTTCGCCCAATCCTAAAGGTTCAAGATAGCAAGATCCTAATTAGCAAACTCTTGCTCTCGCGCCTTAGTCTCTAGAAGTTCACGTCAAAGACGAGAAGTTTCTGCAGCCACGCGAGAAGCCTTAGCGGCGGCTAGGGCCTAACACTCTTTAGCGCGCGCAATCTCTAATCGTTTTTTGCGCTTCTTAGCCTAAACCTTCTCCTATTCCTCCTTAGACACGAAAAGACTGCACGTAGCAGCAATAGAAATATAGCTAGCACAACGCCTAGTAGTAGTATCTATAAAACAACGAAGGTTCTTTTCTTCACAGCGCTTACAATAAAAGGTTATTTCGTTCTCCTGCTCTTTTACACGGTTAGCACGAGCGCGACGCTTGGAAGTTAAGTTTTAAGCACGAACATGGCGAGAAGATTAGACCTTAGGCATAGTTAGGAAGGCTACGAGGCAGAGACGGCTACAACGAGTGGGCGGGCTCTAACCTTATATGCAGCCGGCGTCTCAACACACGGCACGGGAAAACGATATTCTAGGGTATTAAGACGATAGCCCTAAGAGGGGAGGTAATGTTACGAGTAATAAGAAGGATTCTCTCCTTGACAAGTAACGAGACGGCTAAAGGCCTATGGACGTCCACGTCAGAAGGTAATGATCATCGCAGTGCGAGGATCACGTGATTAACATCACGCCAAGACGACCGTCAGACGCTAGTATGTGATGGCAGCAATCCTCTAATGGCAGCTATTAGGACATCAGGCCAAGCAATAGAAAAGTCGTGATAGCAGTGATGGCAGGACTGGAAGCAATGAGGATATAAGGATGGATGGATTTCATTATTACTCTCGTTGTGGTTAACTTAAATTGTACTTTCTTACTAGTATTGTTACTTTACAAGATAGTTACATGTTAGTCTATCTAATAGATTAGCGTTGTCAAACCCTAGTTACATCCATAACTCTTTTCCACTACGAATCGCCAGACAACCTCACGGAGCTCTTCACACCATCTCACTCGCCCTAACCCGGACCGAGCTTAGAGAAGTATCAGCACCTAACCCCGTGTAACACTGTACAATCACCGCAACAGGTAGCCGCCTGGCAGGCGCAGACACCACGCAACGCGCGCGAAGTTAAGTCTCAAATTAGTCTTATTTAAGAGAGCGTGAGAAAACGCCGTAGGTCTTCTACTAATTTACTTACTAAGCAGATTGCGTAGCTAAGTAAGGGGGCCTAGCAAATAGCACATAAAATGACGCTTATAATAGAGGAAATGGGTACGCTTTAAGTGGCTCTTAACAAGTTAAATAAGCGTAAAAGCCGCAAGCGGCGATACGTATAGACAGAAAAGACTCTTACTATAGGCGAAGTACAAGAAGTATTAGCTAAACAGGCGGGTAGTAGTCGTGGTGATAGTGAGAGTGCGTTGAAGAGGGTGCGAGGAGAGCGGCGGTGCGGGCGTTGCAAGCAGACTAGACACAACGCTTGTACCTGCGTAGTTAAGATAGATAGTGCAAGTGATAGTAGCGATTCTAATAATTAATTTAGTATATTGTAATAGTTTATTAACTATAATAAAAAACTGTAATAACGTGTTGATGTAGATGTAGTAGTGGGGCGTTAGCGACTCGCTTGGGTTAGCGACTCACTTGTGAACCACGTTAGTACTAAGATAAGCTACTTTAAAACTAAATTTAAGCTTAGATAGAGCGTATTTTATTTTATATTTAAAAAAAATTATTGAACTTAAAGGTAGTAATAAGTACAAAGAGAGGCGGTAGGACTAATCTATATAGCTTTGGCTCTATTTTCAGTAGTAATCAATGCACCCCTGTCAGCAAGAACTTTTGACAGTCACCTCCGTATCTGGAGCCGTCTCTTTACCCCACCGGAAGTTTTTTCGGCACATTGCAAATGCAGCAAGGGAACGACTAGCTCTAATAATGGTGGTGTGCCTCGAACTACACGTGTCTAAGGTTGCCTGACAAGAAAGTATTGACTAGCGGACCATGATGCGGGGTCAGGAGTAAGTAACTTCAAGGGTCTTATTCGCCCAAAATGCACGAATCTCTACCATGGCGACATCGATGGACCACACAGCGGCCTTCGTTCAGGGTTTTCTGTCGCAGATTGCCTTGCCTAGCCACTCTGATCAGGTTAACCTGGCGGGCGGGTGGTATCTAATTCTCGGCAGGTCCCACGCATGCGGTAGGAGGACTACCCGTATGAAAGCAAAAAGTGGGGCCGGGTGAGTAGGATGCAGTAACCATGGTTTCACGATAACAAGCAATGCTGTCAATTGATAGCTGTCGTGTAATATTGGTCTCAGCACCAGCATGGGACATCGTTGTCATCATTGTTGGCGGTTGTATGCATATATTTTTTTTTGTTTATTCTCCTCAAAAGGATTGTGGGTCCATGTATGTAGGCGCATGCACATGCACCTGCATGCGCTGTTGGCCATAAGCAGAACCATGCAAGAAAATCATGTTGATAAGGTCCAAATAGAACGCTTGTTGACTACTTGATTCTGCTACCCCAGGTACACTATATAAACTAAAGCTCAGCACTTCCTCCACTGCACGTACAGATTAGTTGTGAATCTGCCGCTTTCTTTTGTCGCAGTAAGCAAACCGTTGGCCGATGTGGAAAACGGCGTGAGCGCAACCTCGCTGTTAATGTTAAACATGGCATCCTTACCGCAGGGAGACCAAACTGCCACTGCAACGTTATCCTGCTTGTAGTATTTTCCGTCAAAGGGACCGGAGATGGTGAGCGCTGACGACGTCTGATCTTGCTCGCCAGAGAAATAGTATGTGGATTTTACGACGCCCGTGACACCTCTGTCGAGTTCACCCCAGCCGGTGTAGTCGGCGCTAAAGATAGCAAAGGAGAAGCCGGGGCTGAAATCGAGGCTGAGGTTGATCTGGCAGTTTTTTCGCGATTCTTCTGGACCTTTGCCGGGACCTACGCGGGCAGTGAATTGCCTGCCAAAGTCTATATGCGTTCAGGATAAGTATAAAAATAATACAGTCAAGCCAGGGCTCACAGATGGGCAGAATTCCGTTCTCGGTCCAGTCAACATCGATACTACCTTGAGGACATCCAGAGCCACCGTAAACGACGTTCTTGATTTTAAATGAGTCCGGGGCTTGGTTTGTTGGTGAAGCAAGTGAGACGGCCGCGAGGGCAAGGGTGGCAAGTAGGCCCTTCATCATGAGCTGCTTTGAGCCAGAATAGATGCAAAACAACAAAATATGGGTGGCTGTGCAATCAAGGTTGCTAGGTGCTGAGTAGATGATGGGGAAGCTTACACTTTTGATATTGAATTAGCAGCTCACGGGCAATCATGGCCTTATATGCTATTGCAGGATATAGGGTTGCGCCTCAGAACCAAGTAGTAGAACACCACATACCATTGAGCTGAATCCTCAAGCTGAATCCTCGAGCTGAGTATGCTCTCGTGCCAATCAAACAGCCCTGTAGAATAGGAACGAAAGCCTTGAACCGGGAACATGTCCACCAAAGTCGGCAGGAAACAGCCAATCACTACCGGTAGTCAAGGTTTCGCCCATGCCCTGCATCACCGGCTCGGACAAAGCAGCGAACTGGGCATGGTTGCCATGCAATGCGATATGAGATGCGTTTGTCGAGATTGCCCTAGACTTATGGACGGGGGAGGCAGCCGAGCAGCAAACGAGGCGACATGCGTTGAATGCAGGGCAACTGTGATCTGGAACATTTGGACTCTGGGGCAAGCTGCAGCGACAGAGGCAGAATCAATCTATAATTAGGTTTGTAGAGAGATGGCAGTAGGATGGCGGGCACAGAATGGAGGCTAAAGAAGCGCGAGCCATATAGAATATATTGAAAGATGCGGCCAAGATGGAGAACCACAGAATGAACGGCTGATTGCGGGCTGGGCTTTCCGGGGAAGCTTGTCTGCTTTAGCGAGTGGAAGGGATCATTAGACTTTTTGTTTGATCAGCAAGACGATCATTCGAGTGCCGCAAAAAGCAGCTAGTCTTCGCGTTCGCGTTCGCGTCCTTCATCAACGGCTATATTTATGGCGTGTGCGTGCCGCCTGTTTCTCGAGAACCGTTTGGCTGGAGCACGATAACCAAGCGCTGCTAAGAGAGATGGTGCATATCGATGCGAGTCTAGTGCAGGGTGGCGAGGGGGATTGAATCGAGTGGCGGCTCTTGGTCTGCAGGCTGGGTAAATAGATGAGCAGGCTACGATAAAACAGGCGCCTGCATAGGCAAATGCTACCCGCCTAAATGCTGCTGTACATATTGTGCCCGCCACCGGCTTCGAGACGAGGTTAGCCCAGGAAGATTGCACCCGGCCAGGTAGCACTGGGCGTGAAGAGAAAGTAAACGTGTTCGTAGCGCAGCGTATGGCGTTGTGAGCGATGTTCTCGTAGCATTAGCTAGCCAGCTAACGTCTTGTCCGTACCCAATATCCATATGCACGGGAGCTGAAATGGCAGTCCGGCCAAGAAAGAATTACTAACGCCGTGGCAGTCCGCCAATGCAGTGCGCCCGTCAAACCCAGCAAATGTCTCATGCCTAGCCTCCCAGTGGGGTGATGCCCGCTACTGTCGTCAACAATAATGGCGCTCCATTCCTGAGCTGCCCGTCTCTACCAGTCGACTTCAGCTGACCCGTCGCATAGGGTGTCAAGAGTCTTCAGCTAATGATGCCTATTCTTCAGCCTCGGTGTTCCAAATCTCTACTTCCTTGTTTTCTAGTTCCCTCATCTTCTCCTCTCCAAATATAGTTTCAGTAGGCAATCCTGTCTTGCCGTAATTGACCACAGGTCCGATTGTGTTGAGCCACTGTGTTCTTCTCTCCATGAGCGTTCGAATGGGCTCGCCCACGCCAGGCCTCGTAATGCCTGCGTTGGGAACCGGATGGCTGCCACCGCCCGCTCCGCCCGGCCGCTTGTTTTGTTTTTTGCCCTTTCCAATGTTGCGATTGCGCTTGAGATAGGCGGCGTTGAGTTGATTGTCCAGGTCATCCGCTATGGTGTTGTATTCCTGCTGGGCTATGCGCTCCTCGGTGAGCTCGAGGAGGCGCTGTTTTCGCGCACCGTTGATGATGGATTGCTTCCGGAGTTCTTCCTGCAGAAAACGCAGGCGCTGCGCTACCTCGTCGTCGAAATGTGAGTCGTATGATTGCGACTCGGCGTCTGCCTCAGAGATGAAGCCGTAATGCTTCAGTTCCATCATCACACGGTCTTCCATGCCCACATAGTCGGTGCGTCCATTCTGCGACGGCGATTTCCAGCCAGGCTGGACGAGATCAGGCAGCTGGGCTGCGGCAGGAAGCGAGTTGGTGTTGGTCGGGTCTGGCGGTGCTCCGGCGCCCTCATCAATATCCATGGCGTCCCCGCTGACGCCATTGATTTCCTGTTGGCTGTTTTGATTGCCACGTCCCTCTGGTCGTAGCGTCGCCAGCAACCGCGAGAGTAAAGGACCGGCAGACACTTGGTCGGTTTCCAGCACCTCATCTAAGATATCCTCGGCTGCGCCTCGCGGGACGTTGGGCGGCGGCCGCTGGTCGTTTGAGTCAATGTGCATGGATCCGTCTTCTTCGGCCCATATCTCCTTGTAGTGTCGCTGTCCGCGTCTCGGTAGCACAAAGGGTGCTATGCGGTCCCCGCGCTCTTTTAAGAAAGCCACATCCTCTTCGGTAAGTGGCCTGATGTACGGCTCGACGTAGTTGGCAAAGACGGTGGCATTCACCTGCGATGGCGGCTTCGCATTGGAAAAGTCCTTGTCCGGGGGTGAGCCTGCTATTTTGTCGCGCAGATCCGTGATGGGAAACTCTGCAACACAGTATATCTCCTTCTTCTCCTCAATCGACATGCCGGGCGTCACATCGCGGATATGGTATATGGTGGGGTCATCGAACTTGGCGGGGTCGGGCCCAAACGTCTGGAATTGGGGTACAGCAGGCGCGGGGGCGGGTTGGTGGGAGACATCAGATGCGCTCGGTGAAGGGGCGTCTGCTGGGCCTGCGCCGGCAGCCGATGGGGGTGCTTGCGATACAGGAGAGGATATGGCCGAGGAGTTGTCTGGTGGTAGGGTCAGCCTGTTGTTGAGGCCTGAGCCGCCGAACCTGATCTTCAGTGTCTGACGGCGTGTCGGAGGAGCCATTGGTGCGAGGCTTGTTAATATATACACAAGGGTAATGCAGGTGGGGGGCGAAACAGGCGTGCACGGCAGAGAAGGAGAAATAGAAGAAGAAGAAGAGGAGGAGGAGAAGGAGGTGGAGTGGACGGGTGGGCTTACCCTTGATGTCGCCGCCGTCCTGCCTGGCCACGCCATGGGCGCCGACGGCAGGCGGGTGCTTGCCGTCGTCGTCGTGCTTGGTATTCACCTTCTTGAGCTTGTGCTTGCGATCGTCACTGGCCTTGTCCTTGTCGCGGTCGCGGGGCGCGCGGTTCTTCTTGAGGCTCATGAGCTCCCTGAGGGCGCCTTCCGACTGGACGCAGCGCGACTCGACGTTCTTCAGGACCGTCTTCTCAATGCTGTCGCGCATGGTAAGCAGCTGCTTGCCCGAGGGGATCTGGGAGCCATTGGCGCCGGTTTCGAGTATCTCTTCGACGGTGACGTCGCACTTTTTGAGGTAGGAGCTGAGGCGGCTGCCAAAGTGCGACGAGGCGGAAGAAGGCTCGACCGAGGCGCGCACGGTGGGCAGCGGAGTGGTGTTGCGGCTGCGCGGCGTCTGCGAGGGCTTGGAGCCGGGCTTTGTCGCCTTGCCCTTGCTGCTGAGGCCGGGAGGCGCCATGGGGGCGGCGTATGGGGGGCTTGGTGGTGGTGGCGGTGGTGATGGCAGTGGTAGCGGCAGTGACGGCGGTAGTGGCAGCGGTAGTGGTGGTGAAAGGCCGGGGGGTGCGGGGGAGTCGCGCCCAGGGCGTGGGCCGAGGACGGGTGGAAGCAGGACGAGGAAGTCGAGTGGAGTGGTTCGCGTCTCGATATGGATGTCGATGCACGCACGCACACGCGATGCACGCATGGACGGGCTGGGCGGCGGTGCCAAGCAACTGCCGCACGCTGCACTGGCCGCCCCCAGGCAAACGTCATCAATTTTTGATTCGAGTGTTTCCGACAGACGCAGCAGACAGTGCCATGTTTGCATAGACATGCGCATACACACATCCCACACGACACCATCGCGCTGCTTCGTCACATGACTGCCGCATCCGCATCCGCATCCGCATCCGCATCCGCATCCGCATCCACAGGCACATGCTCCACGGCCAGCCCCGTCGCGGCTCTCGGCGCTTTTTTGGCTCCAGCTGCTGCGCCGCCCGCCAACAAGCTTTGCCGGGAGGGGCGGCTGGCTGCCAGCCTCTGCGCCGCCCTCTCTAGCCACCCGCTCAAGCCGCATTCCGCCCTCCGCACGCCGCATCATCGTCGTGCCACTGCCACTGCCGCTGCTCTCCACGCCGCCCATCTTGCATCTTGCATCTCGCCCGCTGCCTCTTCGCCCTGCATTGCTCGCCTCGCCGTCTTCGCTACCAGCATGCGCTGTACTGGGCGCTCCTCTGCCGCCCCCGTCTACAAGTAGCTCTCGCCTGCGCCCTCGCCCTGAACGCGCGCCCCAACATGTGTACGTCACCCTGCCGCGCTGCTCGCTGCTCGCTGCTCGCCGCCCGCTGCAGCTGCACACCTGAAGCCGCCCGCTGACCCTCCAAACACACAGCCGCCCAACGCATCGGCATCTTCACCATCGACTTTCCCGATCCTCGCCTCATCGACTACGACAACAACCAGTTCCAGACGCTCAACGAATCCCTCGGCTTCCGCTACCGCATCCTCAGCAACATCCAGACGCTGTCCACCAAGGGCGTCGACTCGGACCAGGACCCCTATGGCATTCTCTACGTACCCAACCTCTCGTCGCCCCAATGCAAGACCGACGAGGCGAGCCATGTCCCCGCCAACGCCACCCGCATAGCCAACCTGCCGCGCGACAAGGCGTATGCCCTCATCGCTGTCGCCCCCTGGTTCTCGGCGCAGTGCACCCTCGAGTACTTTGCAGAGGCGCGCCAACAACTGACCAAAGCCTTCATCACCTACCTGCCCGGCGACGGCAATGAGACGCCGCCCGTGCTGAACGACGCTGCGTGGAACCTGCAGGATGGCGGAAGCTGGCAGTCGTTGAACAACTTTCCTACCTATGCCGTTTCTTCCATGACTGGCAACAACATCGCGGACCAGCTGAATCTGTACTCGAAAAACCTGACGGATGTGCCCAACGGAGACAAGCTGCTCGAGTTTTACAATCCGACCGACTACATACGACTCTGGGCGACAGTCAATACAAGTGAGTAGACGCCATCCTCTGCCCGGAATTGTCCCTAATCGCTTCGCTTAGACACTGGCGGTCAGCTCCCAAGTCTGTGGGTTTTCCTTGTCATAGTATTGGCCATCCTGCTTGTGGCTGTCAGCATCACCTCGGTCGTTATGCACGTTATCCAACGAAGGCGTCGCAACGACCTCCGTCAGCGCGTTATCGACGGACAGGTCGATCTCGAAGCCTTGGGCGTAAAGCGTTTAACTGTTTCGCAGCAAATCCTCGATAAGCTGCCCATACACACATTTTACGCGAACAATTCAGACGTGTCTGAAAAGGCCGACCAAGAGCCCCTTGGTCAAGCCGCTGATGGTCCGTCTTCTGCAGTAAGCGCCGGAGCCGGTCCCAAACCACCAGTGCTCTCCCGTCACTCGTCAGCTCCTACAGTACCACAGTCTTCCATGTCCACGTCTTGGTCGCAACTCACTTGTCCTATTTGCATGGATGATTATGAGCCAAACGAAACTCAAGTGCGTGAGCTTCCTTGCCACCACATCTTCCATTCCGAGTGCATCGATCCCTTTCTCCTCAACCACTCCTCGTTATGTCCCATGTGCAAGCAGACCGTCTTGCCCACGGGTGTCTGTCCGGTCAAGATCACAAATATCATGGTACGCCGCGAACGGCATATCAATCGTATACGCGCGCGCAGCGCACGTGCGGCCAACACACAAGCAGGCTCCACGACAGATACAGCTGCTGGTTCGTCAGCACCACTGGCTCGACCACCTGCCATCCTGGGATCGCTTGGTAATAGGATAGGCGGTGCAATGACAGGTCGAAGAATCTTTAGTGCACCCCAGCGAATGCAACCTCGTCCTAGTGAGATTGAGATGGCAGCAGCACCACCACCAGGCGCTTTACCACCGCCACCCACCAATGAAGGACCTCAGCAACAATCACAAAACTGCGACCCTGCTCAAAACCGAAGAGAATGGGCGCGACAACGGGCATTAGCCATGCTTGGCCCTCGCCATGCACCTGCCAACGATGAAGACGAGGATGCAAACACACCTCGATGGCGGCGTATCTTCCGCAAAGTCTTTCCCATGTAGTCGTCCACCATGCACAGCACAGCCGACTTTTCTTCTTTTTCTAAATATCACGATACCAGAGCATCTTCTTGGCGCATATAACCACTCCCTCTAGCTTGTGTATAAGCACAGCGTTCATGTCTTTCTTGTTAGATTTCTTTCTTTCGTATCTTTTAGGGTATATACCAGGGTCATATAGCGTGTTTGCGAGAACAAGGTGTTTATACGGGTCTGATTGGGCATATACTTTGTATGAACGGAACACATATTAAGTATATATGGATATTTCGGCACGACGGTGCATATTTTACCATGTTTAATCTAGATATGTCCTTCCTTCGTTTCTTGCACGTAAATTTTATTAGTATGAAGGCCCAACAAAATCCATGTTGTTTTTCGGTCTGCAGATGCATTTATTATTATTATTATTATTATTATTCTAGTTTAACGTCCTTTTTCAGCCCGAAGGGCTATATAAGACGTGTAGGGTTCTTAGGCCTACAAGTATCTAAGTAGGTTGTTTCTAGCTACAATATTTAGGAGGGGGTTTAACTAATGCAGATGCATTTAGATATCGCTTGCTGACGCACCGAGATAGAAACTACATACACTGCATACGTCGTACACATACCTCTCACATACTCGGACCCAGGCTAACGAAATGCTAGCGTGGGAAAAACGGCAGTATACATGGTTGAACATTACCGAAAAACAAAGACTAGAAACTGAGTAGAAGCTAACGGGTAGTCACATCTACTATGTATACACGACATGCCACTAGTACACCAGTTGCTGCAAGAGTTCCTGACCTATGCTGTCCCTGCATATGTACGTACCACACGAACAACTACCGCCTCCAACCCTCATATCCACCCACGCACCCACCCACTCACCTGCACATACATACATAGTACCTATTCACCTTACCTCATCCGTACACGCATATACTTATTCATCAAGAGGCTGTGTTCATGTCCTCTGTGTGTTTCCTCCCCGCCATCCCACTCCTGCTTATTCCTACGTACGTACATGCACATCTCGACAGCGCTTGGTATATACTTATGCACGCCGTACTTCTGGCGAGCAAATCACAGCTCCGAATCTGCTTACGCATGAGAGAAACGAGTGGTGGCTGCAGCATGGGCTTTTTTTCGAGCGGGTTTTTGGCTTGTTTCTAGCCTGGGCTTAGTGTTGGCTCTTAGTACTAGCTGGGCTGGCTGGCTGGCTGGTACTTACACACATCTAGTGGTGGTGCTTAGACTGATGAAGGATTAGCGCTGTGTACCCTACCCTTCTTGAAAAGGTAGTTATTGGTTTTTCTGTGGCGAAGCTGTTCACATGGTGAATGGGGCTAATCAGGGTTAATTTGGGTGCTTTTGCGTGGCCAGAAGGAGGAGGCTATGTTGTCAGCCTGGGCATTGGTGGGGGGTTGGGGGTGCCATGTGGGGGAGAGGTGGGGGCTTTGAGTAGCGGGATTCTTCGAGATTTGGGGTGTGCTCTGCTTCAGTGTATGAAGATGGGGCCACTATATGGAGTCTTATGTTTGGGGAACTGCTAGAATATTACGGCAGTTTTGAGGAATTTCACAGTCATGTCTGGGTCGGCAGAAGATTCCAAGTGCGTTTCGTCCCGTCTCGCCTTGATCGCCTGCGGGACCTGCTGGATGGCTCCGCTCGTTTGCATCCTCGGGTGGGTTCCTCAGCAGCTTCACTTGAAACACTGACAAGCAGGCCGTCAAGGCCGCCTGCCTTCATGATCAAGACCAATAGGGGCCTTTCTTCAAGCCTCTTCCGCAGAGCCGCGTGCACTTGTTTCCCGAGCTCCAGGTACGGGCGTCAAAGGCCACCATACAACTGGTCGCCTATTTTCCATGCATGATCGCCGTCTGTAATTGGAGCATGACGCACGCATCGTGCATCGCGAGCCGCGAATCTACGTATATACACAGTGAAGCAGCGTAGAAGGATTCTGGTGTGGGTGAGGCTTCTGGCCAATGATGCAGAGAGTTATTTTTGACCTTGGGGGCGGTGCGGGCCGGAAGCGGTTAGCGTGAAAACTGGGGTATCGCTTGTGGAAAGTTCACGATGCAGGACCTCGCAAGATGCAAGTGACATGATTTCCCCATCTTCTGGACAACGATAGCGCATCAACACGGCGAGTTGCCTTGTGACGAAGAACACCGCTAGAATCCATTTGGGAATGACGCATACCTTGGTGGCGAGGGAGTTCAAAAATCGCCAGATGCAGGCCCATCTCCCCCTTCACGACTGGCATCACGACACGTGCGCTCCCTCGACTAAGACGACACGTGCTGAGCCGAAAGAGTATATGGTCAGTGCGCCGTTTCTGCAGCCCCCTGGCGGCTGCACTGCATGCAGTATGCAATGTAGGCCTTCTGTCAGCAGTCTGGGGCTGACACATCACGATTCTATTGGATGCTATTGCTGCAAAATCACCAAAACAGATCTCCTCGCACACAGCCGCCTAGCAGCTGCATCAAAGGTATAGAACTTTGCCTGATTGAGCCGTGTGAGAAGACGAATACAGTAATATATCGTGGAGACAGGGGTCAGAATGGCTGCAGCTGGCAGCACGTTCTGAGAGCATGCGTCCTGATATGCAAGTGGCTCGACCGATAGCATGGTATAGTGTGGGAGCCGCGAGGGCTGAGACATGCGTGTACGCTAATCATGGCAGATGCTGTATGCCGCTATGCACGTCTGTGTCGTAGATCTGTATCTTTCTTACATCACAAAGTTGATCGTGGACCTGCTAGATATGCACGGGCGTTCTGTATATAACGGCCGTGGGTCCTCAACCCCGATATCCCGGACCAGCACATGGTAGTCTAACGCTCAAATTTCCTTACTCTTAATTCTAATCCACTAGGCGTCTCTTTACCATCGACCAAGATGTCTACTACCTTGCAAAGACCGGGCTGGCAAGACCCCATTGCAATTGGAGGCACAGGTACGACTTATCTCATGCCACCACCTACCTCAGCACCCAGGGTGTGCAAATCCAACAAGGAGAAGAGATTGAAGCTTCGCGCCTCGTGCGATGCTTGTGCTGCCTCCAAGATCAGATGCAGCAAAGAGCATCCGACATGTTCTCGCTGCTCCGCCAACAAGCTGCAATGCATCTACGGCGTATCCCGAAAGCACGGCAAGCCTGGACGAAAGAGAAAGCGAAACCCAGATGGAACGCCGTTTGTAAAGGCCACAAAGCATCGTTCCTGCCAGGTTACCAACGAGTCTGGAAAATATGACTTTGAGTTTGGCGCTCCACTTTACCAACATGATCTGGAAACTACATCAAATTGGATACCCGACTGGTCACCTACACTGAGCTTGCCGGATGCATCAGGACTCGAGTATTGGACGTCTTCTGAGCAAATATACAACACCATCGATTGCTTCAACGGCAATTCCGCAGACACTGCCTTCTTGCCAATGACACAGTCTGAACAAGAATCAGTCCCAGTTACGGAATCAAACTTTCCCTACCAGGACCCGTTAGAGACGCGCCAACTGTTATAGTTTGGCTCTCTAAACACACAAACTTCAGAAGGCTATATGGGGAGTGACTGGGGAAACCTGGAAAACTACTCCACCGACATCACCACCATGGGCCACTTGGAGCCCTTTTCTTCTCCATCTACGCTCTACAGCCCCATGAGCCAAGCGATTCGAAACGAGAGGCCCATGGCTTCAAGTACCAGCGTCACTTCACCTTCCCGGAACTGCTGTCATTCTTTAACTTGTTCGACATTTGGAAGCACTTTCGCCTGGGGAGCTGCTCTTCCATCACCAGCAAGTGACAGTTTCAGCTCTTCGTCTCCGCCCATCTCTGGAGTTATTTCCCCTTTAATCGCGCCCGGTATCAATCAAGAAATGATTCCAAATATCTACATTCAGCCATCAAATTTCCAAAGCTGCGAGTCTCATGACGTCGGTCAGCATGGAGGGAACAGGGATGGATTTTAAGGTTTGCCAGTTGGCTGCCTATGTAATGTACTGTATCTGAGGACCAGGAGCAAAAACGTATATATGTATGAGGAGTGAGTTTCGGTGCGAGACTGGGGTACATGTTTAAGGCGCGATCTGTACAATAGTGTTAGGCATTTTCGCGGGCGTTCTGCAGCATAGGCATCGTTGTGTTCCCACAGCGCACTATTTTTGGTACTTGTAATCATTATACCTGCCTTTTTAGAAGACGATGGCGCGTTAACAGAACATCCGAAGTAATCTCCAGCGGCATTGTCATCATGTAAACAGAACAAGAAAGCCGAGTCAAGATGGCTGGTGAGACCCACCACCCCCGGATTACCCCAGCGCACGTGGCACCTTCACATGCCTCGGCCCAAGCGCAGCGGGCGTCACAGCACTCACATGCGGTCCACCACCTTCAGCCTTCCCAGCGCCACATTCCTGCTCCACGACATGATAAACGTCCTGGAAAGGACGCACACGGCCAAACATGGCCGCACAGTCTACCCTACGGCAGCCGCATGACCCTCTACTAGCCCTCTACGACCACTACACCAAGCTTCTCAAATCCCGCGTCCGGAACGCATCGAAGCTTACCAAGCTGCTATCGACCATCACCCTGCTATTCACCATCATAGGCGCTGGCTATGGAGGCAGGCGACTGTACAAAAACCGACGCGCAGAGAAGGAGACGGGCCGACGGCTTCTGAGGAGGAACTCGGGACTCAAGAACAAAGATGGCTCCAGGACCATCTACGTGCCGTATCGCGACTCGACGTCCAAAGTTGTCATAAACCCCACCAAGCAAACGACGTTTGATGCCCACCGCAGACTCTTCCTCCAGCCGCCGCGCGCCGCGCGCATGGCCGATGTGTCCTCCAACGACCCACAAGCGCCGCCGCCGCAAACCAAGCCGGGCCTGAACCTCGCGTTTCTGCACCAGTTCCTCAGCTTGCTGAACATCATGATACCGAGATGGAACAGCAAAGAGACAGGTCTGTTGGTGAGCCACAGCGTGTTCCTGATGCTACGGACATACCTCTCCCTCGTCGTAGCGCGGCTCGACGGAGAGATTGTGCGAGATCTCGTCGCAGGCAATGGCAAAGCATTCCTGTGGGGTATTGTCAAGTGGCTGGGTGTGGGTACATTCTCATCGTACACCAACGCGATGATCAAGTTTCTGCAGAGCAAGGTCTCGATTGCCTTCCGTACCCGACTGACGCGATACATTCACGACCTTTACCTGAACGACCACCTCAACTACTACAAGCTGCAGAATCTGGACGGCGGCGTCGGAATGGCAGATCAGTACATTACACAAGACTTGACGCTATTCTGCGCGAGTGCTGCATCATTATATTCCAGTCTGGGCAAGCCATTCGTCGACTTGTGCGTCTTCAACTACCAGCTGTACAAGTCTTTGGGTCCGTTGGCTCTTACAGGCCTGCTGAGCAACTACTTCCTGACAGCGACGGTCCTGAGAAAACTCTCGCCACCCTTTGGAAAACTAAAGGCAGTCGAAGGACGAAGGGAAGGCGAGTTCCGCGCTCTCCACTCGCGCCTTATTGCAAATGCCGAAGAAGTCGCTTTCTACGGCGGCGATGAGATGGAGAAGCATTTCCTAGAGCGTGGTTTCAAAGACCTCAAGCACTGGATGGAAGGCATATACAGTCTTAAGATCAGGTACAACATGCTCGAGGACTTTGTGCTGAAATATTCTTGGTCAGCCTTTGGATACCTCATCACCTCTCTCCCGGTCTTCCTGCCAGCCTGGGGTGGCCTCGGCAGCGCACCTGAAGTGCCAGGAAGCGAGCGTACAGAGCGCGAGCGGGGCCGCATGAAAGACTTTATTACAAACAAGCGACTCATGCTCTCCCTCGCAGATGCTGGCGGACGAATGATGTACAGCATCAAGGATCTCTCTGAATTGGCAGGATACACCTCACGTGTCTACACACTAATCAGCACGCTGCATCGCGTCCATGCAGACGCATACTACCCCCTTCCGGGCACGCGTCCAGAGCTCTATTCAGTCTCTGACATCCAGGGTACGGTGCATAAAGGCTTTGACGGCATCCGTCTTGAGCACGTGCCGATTGTTGCGCCAGCCTTGCACCCAATGGGAGGCGACGAGCTACTCGAATCCCTATCCTTTATTGTGCATTCTGGCGAACATCTCCTCATCACTGGTCCCAATGGCTGCGGTAAGAGCGCCGTAGCGCGTATTGTTGCTGGTCTCTGGCCCGCCTATCGCGGTCTCGTCAGCCGACCGCGCAGCATTGGTGTAGACGGCATAATGTTCCTACCCCAACGGCCTTACCTTTCCACTGGCACGCTCCGTGACCAAGTCATCTACCCTCACACGGACGCCGACATGAAGGATGCCGGTCGCCGCGACTTTGAGCTCTCCCAGATCCTTGAGGAGGCCAAGCTCGGCTACCTGCCAGACCGAGAAGGCGGCTGGGACACGAAGAAAGTGTGGAAAGACGTTTTCAGCGGCGGTGAAAAGCAGCGAATGGGAATTGCAAGGTTGTTGTATCACGAACCCCGCTATGCATTCATCGACGAAGGAACCAGCGCCGTCAGCAGTGATGTCGAGGGTCTACTTTATGAACGCGCAAAGGCAAAGGGCATCAGTAAGTCACTTTTTTCTTGCATTGTGCGCTTATGTAGGCATTCTAACCATGTCATCTAGCCCTCATCACGATATCTACACGTGCTTCCCTCAAACGCTACCACACCTTTACCCTTACCCTTGGCATGGGTGACCACGGTGACGAGTGGGAGTTCCAACGCATTGGCACGCAATCTGAAAAGTCAAACGTCGAGAAGGAGTTGGCGGAGCTGAGAGAGAGACTAGCCAAGGTAGAGGGCTGGAAGAAGAGGAGAGAGGAGATTGAGGCGGAGCTGAATAGGGTGTGGGTTGAGAAGGAGGGGGATGGTGCTACCGAGGAGTTGGCACCGCCACCGTACTTGGAGGAGGAGGCGTATGAAGAGGTAGTTGATGAAGATGTGGCAGACGAGGAGGTTGTAGGAGAGGAGGTGGCCGGTGAAGAGGTGGTGGGCGATGCAGCGGCAGGTGAAGAGGCGGCAGATGAAGCGGCAGATGAGGATGCATCTGCTGGTTTGTAGCGAGGTTGAGTCAATCGCAGCGATTATCAAATGGAGTCTCATCCTCTTATTGGAGTTTTCCAGTATCCGCGACACATTGGTCATATTCCATGGGCCTGCTGCGACTCCATGGCTAGGGCTTTTTCGATGATCAGCAGGCCATAAAAGGGCGCACTATCCGTCCTGTTGGGAAGCCTGATGTTGTATTGGTTGTATTGGAGTGCGCATACTCAAAACCAGACTACGTACAAGCGAGCCGACCTGAGTCAAGGAGGTAAAAGGTACCTTTCTACTCCGAGTAAGGTAAATGCAGGAAGAAAAACAATCACAGTACAGCTACGGGAGCCTGCTGGAACGGAGATCCAACTAAGGTGATCGGCAGTCCATCATACACACGGGAGCATGCTGCCGATGCCCAACCAAACAGCCATGTATCTGCACTCGCACTCCGGCCACGGCATAGGAAACCTCGCTTGATTATGACGAGTCTAGTCGCAAGACGCGAGGCCAGGTTTGAAAGGTATACCCAAAGGCCCACAAACGCGCAGGGTGTGATTGGTCGACTGTCGCTCGACGCCCTGTAATAATACATGGTTTCGCTAAAGGTAAATGGACTGCCGAACCGCTCGCATGACGGAATGGCAATGGTGGCTGCCAGTTGGTGCAGTGTCTAGTGGCGAGTGTGACATGAATTACATGCAGCTCTGTCAGGGTCAGTCGGGAGAGGTGGGAAGAGGCCTACATGTACACCCGCTCTTTCGTGCTTGTTGCCATCCGCGGTGTACCCGCCCCTCTCTTCCCAGCCATGCGCTGATACGCGAGCATTTCGAGTCAAGCGGGTGGCTGGCGAGCTTGAGTGGCCGGCTTTCAATCAGAGCCCAGCAAGAGTTATATGACTGGTGGGGATAGCATGGTAAGACATGTACACGCAGTATGCTACATGCGAGCCGCGTCCAACCAGGACTTGGAGCCGAGGATGTTATCGTGGAGCTTGGCGATGGCGGTCTGGTGCACGCTCTCTCGCGAGGTACCTGCGCAGCGCAGACGGGACAGGAGGCGCACTCTGCAGCGATTTGGGCTGCAAGGGTGAGGGTATCATGGGCGTTCGTATTCGAAGACGCAACAAAGATCAGCGTGAAGGATCGCTGTCGCGAAAGTTCTCCCCGAAGGACGCTAGTGCAATGCGACGCGCTGATTGGCCCAACGCGTCGGGCAGCGCATGGCTCAGGGACACTGCGACGTTGAAACGGCCCGACTTTGACATGTTTGATGCTTCTCCCTCTCCGCAAAAGGCCCGTTTCGCCAGACAGTTCTGCGGCTTGGTATCAAGGGAAGCTCGTAGAGTGTGGAAATGAACACGACCCGCGCGCTCGACAGGGTTGCTGAAGCCACCGTCAGGCGACTACATGACGTCACAATGGAGAGAAGAGCATGGGAAATGGACGGAATAAACCTTGGACACAATTCCAAAGAACGGTCGGAGCCTCGGGGACGAGTATACCACGACAACTGCTACGCGAGGTCCTAATCAGGTACAAGTCTGAGACTCTAGTCATGGGGCACTAGTACAATTGGAATCTGCCTCAGACTTGTCCAGCACCCGTCATCGACGCCCGATCCTGACCAGGAGCTCAGGTCGGTATGCCCAAAATTCGGAGAGATCGTCCTTTCGATCAGGGCAATCCTTGTACAAATCCATATCGAAGCCGGCATCGAAGGCCTAGTCCGACCGGCCCTGGAGTCAATCATCAACACCATAAACAAAGTACATAGACAACAGCCGATTGCAAGCTCTTGGGACGGGCGTTCGTGGCAGACATGGCGTGCCCAAATGGTTCTGTACCTCTGCTCCTGCCCTGGACCAACAACTCAGTTTCTTCTACCAGCCCAACCTTCTCTCGAGGCGTCTCCTTCGCGATTGGCACTCCTCCTCAGCTCTTTTCTTTGACCCCATCGACGGTAACTAACAATCTCTTCATCGACAATGCGGCCGAGTGCGGGTCGGCCACGAACAGCAGCTGTATTGGCCAGCTAGGTGGTATCTATGCCAGTGCGACTTCGACTTCGTTTGCAGAGGTGGATTACGCAAAATGGACAGGCAGCAGAGCATCTGTAGACACGGTGTCGGGGAGCTCCTACATTTTCTTCAACGATGTTGCAGCTTTTGGTCCCAATAATGCCACCAACAAGTTTCCCGCTTTCCCAATGTATACCAACGGATCTACCGACAGTGAGTGCTCGACGGAAGAGATGAGAAGCACAGCACTAACATATCATAGCCACTGTGGACGCTTTCTCGAACAACGATCCAACTTATCGAGCAACACTGCCTCTGGGAATGGACTCCAGCTTTTTGAACTTCCTGGTCGACTCAGGTCAGGCTTCGTCCCGGACGTATGGCCTATGGGCTGGATCAGAATCCGAAGAAACGCCCCAAGACGGCTTACTCGTAGTTGGTGGCTTTCACAAAAGCCGTCTTAAGAGCGCTGCAACCACTTTCCCCATGTTCTCAGACTGTCCTACATGCGCCACTGTCACTGCCATCACCTACGATGCCGGCGGGAAGAGTACTTCGCTCTTCGCAGCCGACGGGGACACGCTCGTTGTGTATCTGGACCCTTTTTCCACAGACCTGAGACTTCCATCTGAATTGCTGGACAAACTTGCGGCTACCGAGAAAACGGCTGTTTGGAACCAGACCTCGCGCCATTTCGAGCTTCCTACTACACCTGCACCGGCAGGCACAATTACTGTTACGATATCCGATATGGGCAGTCCTGCTGGTGACGCATCAAAGCCTTCGGTCGCTTCGTACAAGACTGTTATCCCGGCGACTGAGTTCTATCGACGACCCCGGGCGTACAATGCTGCAGGTGTATTTGAAGTAAACAATGCCACAGTGTTCAACATGGCTGTAACGAATCAAACATCCTCCAGGCCCATGGGCACCCCAGTCGGTACCCTAGGTCTCCCCTTCTTCACCCAAAATTACCTCATTGTCGATCCCGACGCGCAAAATTTCCAGCTCGCCCCAGCCGTTGTTACAGCTATCGATCCCGCTACTGCAAAGACTCAGATAACAAAAGTCTGCCGCGTCCTGCCGGGTGCAAAGCAAAAGTCACAAACTGCTGCTCTCGCTGGAGCAATCGCCGGCTCTATAGTCGGCACATTGCTCCTCGTCGCCTTGGCATTATACATCCGGAAGCGCAGAAGAAACGCCGGCAAGCCTTCAGGTGCAACATCTCTCAAGCCAGCGTTCCACCGCATGGCGCCCCACGAATCCGAAGAAAGCAAGTCCCTCGAGTTGCCGCACCAAGCTCCTCCCGCTCCTACGGCTCCTACGGCCCCTGCTTCCGCAGTTCTAAGCAATGGCTTTGTGTTCCCCTTACCGCGTTCCAGTCGGCCGATCCATTCTCGAGATAAGACTTACGAGGATCCTCGCAGAGACCTCGTCCACGATGACTTTAGAAGGGTGGATGAAATCAATGATGGGAGGCTTTTGGATGAGAGGCCGTTGGGACTGAGTGAGACGATTCATTCGCGAAGCACGTTGCCTAGGCTCGCTGCTGAACATACAGTTGAGTGATGATTGCATTTGCAAGCGGGGGGGTTTGGATGGCAGTTTTGGTTTTCCTTTGTGATGGACGTCTCTTTCTTTTTAGCGCATGATATCAATATACCCGTGTGGGTGGGTGGGTAATGGGTGGACACTGTGTGCATTTAAGCGCGGAACAAACTGTCTTTACTGCGATGAAGCTGGTTGATCAAAGTAATACAAAGCTGTTTCTTGCAGATGTGTTTTCATAACTTCTGTTTACATAGTTTCACGTAGGCTATTCTCTTCTGCCTTGTCACTCGGGCGTTTGCTTCGGATTGGCACAATCTTGAGTCTTAGGACCGCCTGTCCCGAAGACAATGTTGAAATTGTAGTCAGTCTACGTTCTCTGAAAACTAATATCCAATATGCTCTAATAGACTTACTAATGAAGGAATCTTGACAAGGCCCGGAAAAACCAATCAATACAAAACTCGTATCCAGAGTTGAAGGAAGCTCCGAAGACCGAACTTATCCCGATTATCCATTACAAGATAGATGCACATGTCAAACTCAATCGAACGATCCTTTTTAGTATGCTTACATGCAAACACAAATGTTTGTATTCCATTGAGCAGAAAGAGAAAAGTCATACGACTGCGCAGCGGGGTTTGTGCGACATTATTGAAACGTCCGCGGAGCGAGTTCGAGAGAGTGTAAACTTGACGGGGAATTACCATGGTATGGACAACCGCTAAGGGCCAAATAATCATCATTAAGCTTTTATTTGACACACACACACACACAAGTACCTGTCAACTACAAATCTGGTAATGCCATACGAGACACGGGGAGTGGGTATCACGTGAGATTCCAGCTCCGGGGTATCACGTGAGAATGGTCAAGTTCACGCGTCCTTGCATTAGAGTATCTTTAGAGTTTTTTCCAATGTGGCGACTTATCCTCATTGTGTTACGATATCGGGCATTCAATCTGCACTTTACCTTGGGACTGATGTTGCGCAGAACGGGCGAGAACAGAAATCTCATGAGACACAGTAACAATCCGGCGTGGGGTACGTAGGCGCGTCATCATCACACGTTCCCCCCATTGGCCACAGCCTTATCAGCTTATACATCGGAATTCGAAGAAGGGGTGCTCGACGACTTTTCGCTTTTCCTCCACCCTTTTATTCGGGATGTGTCGATGCGCTACTGTATACACGCGACTAGCAGCCTGTCTCGACCAAACTGTGTGTCGGTAGTTTCTATTGGCTGCACATGGCTACGGATGCCATGCCACCTCTTCGGCCTCTTCTTCCAGCCACTCGGGGACAGCATACGACGACACGATTAGGTGCAGCTCCACCCAAGCGCAACCGATCACCTGCATGTGACAGTTGCCGTAGGGGTAAATCTAAAGCAAGCTCAGCCCGATAAGGTATGGAACTGGTCCGTACTAACGCTTACTGGATCTCGATTTAGTGCAATGGCAAACGGCCTTGATGCAGTGCATGTACAGCACAGCACGTTCAACAATCTGCCAGTACAACCGAACGGGGAGCCGTCAGATGAAGGGGTGATATGAGCTGCTGCAGCAGCAGCGAGAATCATCATGCGCAGAACTAATAGAAATGGTTAGGATGAGGCCAGAACCAGAGGCTTTGGACATGTTCTGGCGCCTAAGAGCTGGGATGGATGTCGCGTACATCCAGAAGCACATGAAGGACGGAAATCTGCTCATTCGGCTCTCGCTACAACCGGAAACTTTTCGTCCGTTCAAGTTTCTCTTGCTCGCTAAGTTTTCTCAGCCACATCTTCATCCGGGACAATCCGTATCTGAGTTCCCTGCTTCGTGAATCGATATTTACTCTTCAGATTGGTCATGGCGATGCCTCAAATGTACATGGCGAAGCCCAAAGATATCCATGAGAGTGATAGACAAGGCACCGTGGGTGATGAAGACTATCAAAGCGCATGCAAGTTGCCATTCAATGTTTTGCAAAAGGGTGAGCCATTGCTGGAGAGGGTTGTTGCATCAGAATGGGCCAGAGTCATTTCTGACAATCAGCTCTTCAGACAGCTTATCTCCTCCTATTTCCGCTATCCTGATCCTTGCGGGCCCTTTTGTGCATGAGAACCTGTTCTTAGGAGACATGGCAGCGGGTCGAACCACTTTTTGTTCCTTGCTGCAAGCCAGCGCCATGCTTACAAATGCTTGTGTTCGCATCTCCGTTCCTTGTAGGTTGAAGTGCAGCGCTGATGAGTTCAGGAAATTGGCCCTAGCGAACGATTATGGGAGCTTGAATCGTTGCCAGGAAAGAATACAATCACAAACGTGCAAGCGGCAATGATAATCGCCTACCACATGTCGACCAACAGCTTGGAGCAAGTAGGTGCCGTCTATGCAAAACGAGCCCGTGAGATGGGCGAGAAACTAGACTTATTTGAACCCAATTACTGCGGCCTAGGAATGAACATGAACGAAGCACGTGTCTTTACGGCGTGGGCACTCTTTTCCTGGCAAGCCATGTTCAGCTTTTACCAGTCTCGTCGTCCATACTTTCGCGAAACTCCGCGAATTCCATTATATCTGCACAGGAAAGACATCTATATCAGTCCTCTGGGAGGCTCGATTGTTGTTTGAGACGGCAGTCTGTCTGTACTACACTCGGCACAGCTCCGATTCCTATGACCCCTGAATTTCTTTTGTGTTAGCTGTTATGAGCCATACTATCGTTCGCCATCTCAGAATAAAACTTGGCCTTAATCGTCACATCAACTAACTACCACGCCATTGTGGTTCTCGCAGCTTAGGGTTTGGCCATCCAAAGTCACAGCTAGTACAACAGCACGCTCCTGGAGACAATTGAAAAACTGACGTCACCGTGGGTTGGTCTGGTGCCTGGTATATTCAACGCTTTGGATAGTCAGGTTTGGCCTTTGCCGTAACAGGAGTCTTTAAAATCTTGGTTGTAATGAATGTACCACATTATCCATCAAGATACAGGTATTGGAGGCTCATTTGCTTGCTGGACTCACCAAAGAAGCAACTGTGAATATGAGACCTAGAACTATCCAAGGTCAGGGGTATCCATGGGTGTGGATCATGATTCATGTCAATTCCCGTTCCTTTCTGTCCGAAAAAAGATATGCATATAACTATTCGCTAGCGGTTGTCTGCCTATCTCGCAGCGATTCCGAGTTCTCATACCAGTCGCCTAATGAATGGCTTGCCCATGTTTTCAGCACAATGATCCCATGACTCATGTCTTCGTAAAAGAGCGCGTCGCTCTTATTGTTTCCGCGTGATATGACAGCTCCATTGAGCAAATGAACATGACCTGACCCAAGGAAAAGAAAAGCCGTCGTTGTCTCATTAACGCCACGTTTCAGCGCACACCAATGCTTTTTCGCAAAGAAGAAACCTCCCATTCGTGGCACTGTGTGATTACCCCCCAAACGGTACGTCTCCGCCCAGCCTCCTCACCTCATCGACAGCCATGTCTCTCTGCTTCTCCAGCTCCTTGATGTAGTCAATCGCCACGGCTAGCACTACGCTTTTGCTTATTCTCGCAGCACCCCCTGTGTTGGCCGCGTCGTTTGAAAGCAAGCATGGAACCGCTCGACGTAGCCGGTCCAACTCTGTGTTTAGCTTCTCTCTGTACCGGCGCTCGACTTCGGTATGGGGTACGCATTGCGACCGACTGACCCGGCTGGTGGAGGGATTGATCGGAGCTTCCGTGGGTGGGGGGAGACGGGGACGGCCTCGCTTGCGCTTAGGAGGCTCGAGATGGGTATGATTGAAAACTGTCTGGTGGTTCGAGGGTGGCGACATACGTGTGTGCTTTGATTTCCGAGGTGATAGAGCCGGTGATGCGGGAGTGCTGCTGGTGGAGGGGTTTGAGCTGCTGCTACGAGAGGTCGCAGCGGTGTAAGCACCATAAGGGGCATCGCTGTACGCTGGGGCGCTTCCGCTGAAACCAGACCATGCATTTAGGTTGGGGCAGTTTGGTGTTTGTGTGGCGTCTACCAATGGATTCGTGCTGGCAAAAGTCCCTGGTGATGGACTGCCCCAGGGGCTGACTATATCGAACGATTTCGTGGTAGGATAACCGTAAAATTCGCCATCAATTGAGCACTCTGGAAAGTAACCGCCAGCGGTTTTCGGGTAGGACTCGGCGAAGTATGAGTCTGAGGTGTTTGGCGAGAGGTAGGCCTCGCTGCCTGGTGAGTATAGGGGATAGGCGTCCATAGGGTCGGTGGGCAGCTGTGAATAGTTCATGGTGTGTATTTTGCTTCGGATTCGAAAGGTCGGGTGTGTCTCGGCTTCTATTTGCATCATATACCCTATGCTCATATACTAGCGAGGACGGTTTAGACTAGATGACATGCTGTGTACCGCCCCAGTTATCAGCCTTTCCTTGGCCAATGCAGTCAGCCCTGGATTTGACCGAGAGCAAAAAAAACGCCAAGGGCCAGCAGTGGAGCGACCAACAGCTGATGATAGATCTCCTGCCAACAATGCAACCTTACCTTGCTGCGATCGCTGCATGGTCGTGGTTCTAGACCCCCCGGGGCGGAGCGAGAGGAGCGGAGAAGCTGTGCCCTGCAATAAAATGGGCGCTCAGCCGCAGTGGATCTGATAAGGTTATCTCGTAAGCTGCTGCCCTACGATCACGATATTCGCCACCGAGCGGTCAGAGGCTTTGTGGCTGTTTTGCACCAGGTGCCTCCACAACACGGTAGTAAATGGGCGAGCAAAAAACCCAACGCCTCCTCTTTACCCGTGTACAAGACTGTGAGGATGCAAGCAGCATAATGTTGGGCCATGGTGCAGTGTTGTGTGGTTGATGTGCGGGGAAGTCTGGTGTGTTCCAGCACATACATGCCGTCCAATTGCAAGCAGCGACGGAGCCACTCGCTTGACGGCCACCACCCTAAAAAGCGCTGCGCCCTCCAGTTCGCCGAACACGCTGCCAGCCCCTGCATCGCCTGCTCCACAGCCCTTCCCATCGTGTTCCAATGAGAGAGATCGGTGCGATCCAGCGAGTCCGAGGAAATCTGAAAGACCGTGTCTCACAACATGGTGTATAGTTAGGGACCTCGAACCATAATGAGGTTTGCTTTTTGGCTTGCGCCTTAGACGGGCGGGCGGGATCGAGAGGCTATATCGGCCCTAATATGCATCTAAATTGACTTGCAGATACTATACATATTTCTAACAGACAGGGTTCGGGGCATCGGAAAAGGGATACTAAAGGAGTTGAACCAGACGCGGTTGAATGGCGTCTAGTCTCCCGTTAAGCTTATGCATAAAGTGCTACACAACTAGCTCCCTTACTAGGCATAGCAAGAGTCATAAACTGGGGCTTTGACTCTGGCTACTAAATCACCATGCTATCACGTCAATTTTACCGGTATCGCAAGCCCAGGGGACTGCCACAATAGCCGCGGTGCGTATGGTCGCGAGGTAAAACAGATAAGAAGGGCTCCTTCATCACTGCAACAAGACACGGCCCAAGCTACAATGCAGGGCGAAGCTCTTTCAGGGCGGATGTAACTACGTGAGAGACATATGCATGTCGCACCCAGAAAACGTTACATTACGGCCGAGAAAAGTATAGAAGCGGCGAGACCTTGTCAGCTGACCCGTCCAAGTACTTTCGGCTAGACTGACTCATGTTCCCGTTCCTGCAAATGGTACTACCGGATTCGTCCCAGATTCACTAAGCCTTCATTAAGGAAATGGTGGTGTGCTACAGCTAGTGTGAGCCAGTTATTTTGCGCAGCTGAGTGGCTAAGTGTGTGGCTTGGAGCACTCTGCCAAGCAGTGCAATCTATACACCCCCTGTACCAACGACTGACCCAGCAGGATGTAGTTGTAGACTATTCAGACTTAGGTTTTCAAAAGATATTCTTGGTTGGAAATTTCTTGGAAGCTTGCATAGAGGCAGGGTAATTATCCGCCTACCCACCACCTTGCCTACGATCCCTACACCGAGGATGGTTATATTGTGCGTATACGATGTCTCATATCCAATCCCGTACGTTTTGATGGAGATTTGAAGCGAAAACTCTCCTGGCAGGTGGACTATTAGAATGCGCAAGAAGAAGAAGAAGAAGAAGAAGAAGAAGAAGAAGAAGAAGAAGAAGAAGAGGGTGTTTGCAACAATTCTCTAAACCATTCCTAAGCATCATGTATGCATGAATTAGCTTCTTGTTCTCATTCTCTTCAATCTCTTCTCGCTTAGAACTTATTGTTCAGTTGGATTGGTGGATGTGAGTTCAAACCGAAAAGTCAAGCATCTTGAAATGATGCAAGCGAAACACCAGCGGCACAACCAAGAAGTAGTAAGGGCCATAAGTTTCAATGCTGTCACAAAGAAGCTTGTTCTTGCATCTAGGGCCCCATAAGGCAGAACACACGCTAAAGAGAGAATACCTCACAACCTCCATTTTAAAATCGGTAAATGGAAAAGGCAAAGAACCAGCATTTCCAAACCTTTACCTGATATTTCTTCAATCATTCAGACGTTACATAGCGACTAAATTTAGCTTCTAACCGTCCCAGAAGGATTCGGTAGCTGTGAACACCAAGCGAATATTTTTTTTGGCAAAAAGTAGTGCACCCTTTTTATCTTCGGCTAAATGACCAGCCACTTGGAATTTTATATTTTTCTTTCTTGCGTTAATTTTATGCTCAGCTACATAGTAGAGAAACATCTTCACCTATCCGTCTTGTTGAATTCTGTATCATCAATAGAGATAGCGCAGCGGAGAGCCCTGCTTCCGTTGGAACACCGCCTGGTCGAATTTGCTGCAGCTCACCATGTATAATCGCTGCTCTGTGTCTCAGCTATGACTTACATTTGATTCGAATAGCTGTGAAATAATTGTATTTGAAGTCGTTGGTGACTCGGCCAACGGAAAGTCTTGCCCATTCTCCAGAGTGTGTGAAGTAAAAGCACACCTCTCTTTTACTGGCCATTGATTATGTCATCGTACTTGGTTACAAGTCTTTGAGCAATGGTTAATTTTGCTGCGATAGTCTCATTCATGTTTTCATGTCAAAGTCAGATACCTGAAAGCTAAGTCATCAAAATCTTCGTATTGCACATATCTGACATCAAATAAATCCCATCCCGCAGTAGTTGCAGAAACCCCAGAGCCGTAGCTGTATAGCGACACTATCAAGAAGCTCTATTGAGAAGATATAACATGTTGCACTCCTCTCAGGTACATCAAGCACAGTAGCAGTCACAACCTAGGTTAGGATTTGCCCATCCCGACTGAAGCGTTTGGACTCGGCACTTCTCCTCTATTAGCTATCGTTGCGGCAAAATGCAGGATAGATATCCAACTTACGCTCTTACAGGCGTCTCTGCACCACTGAAGATCTAGTGGATCGCAATTCCCTGGAGACTGTAGACAGCGTTAGTAATTTATTTTAGTGATAACACTTTACAACACCGGCTCAAAATAGACTGGAGCAGCTTTCTCCAACTCGAGTAGGCTAGCGCCTTCAGTCTCATTTTTTTCAGGGTGATATCGAGATTGTAAGAGAAATACATACTCCCCAGTTTGGGTCAGCGGTGTTGCATAAAACTTTACCGATCCAAGCTGTCGACAGGCCTGTGAAAAGCGGTATAAGAAGTACACTTAGAAATTTCATTGTGAGTGTATGGCCTTGGGGGCTACGTGTAGAAAATTCAAGGAAATTAGAAGAGAGAATAGTCAGGCCTATGAGTGCATAATCGCGGGAGGAGATCTTGTGAGCAGAATATATAATAGGTCAGACCTAACACGAGCGCCACGGCGAACCCCCGGCTATGGTAGCTTGCAGCGGCCCATTTGCGGAGCAACTTACAAATGCCGAGTGACCATATGTCGGAGGTATGCTACATAATAAAGCCGGAGACCAAATGGCAAACCGAAGATTGACTGGTGGAATAGAGTTTGACTGCTCAAACAAACATTGACTTACAATACGGAGATAGACTAAGACTAGATGATTAAATTACAGTAATGCTACTACCTATATATTTGACATGAATACGTTTCACAGACGTAGCTGGCGCTGCGCTATTTAACGGCACAGATGCTGGGTACTTGCCTAGGCTGCAGAGATATCCACACCACTAGCCTCTGTTGTAGCTCAAAGAGCTATGTCATCGGCAAACCCATATCTATGGGATATCACCGTTTGTGAGCTTAGTCAGGTCTAAACTGTTCCACACAACCCTCCACATTTAGCGTCTATATTCAATGGCCTTGAAAAGTTCTTACTAAAAGGAACGTCTTCGATGTTTCTAAATTACAACCAAGACACAAACTAGCCAGTCTCAACATTTCAGAGCGAATCAGCGCGTCTAACCTACCATACCAGGACTACAGTGAGGTATTTTAGACCACACTACGCACTATAACCCATTAGTGAGCTTGAGATTGGTACATTATGCGCCGCAAGTACGGCCGTGACTATGATTGTAGTATCGTAAGCAACGCAATACGCTAGTCCTCTAGTTATAGGAAGTTGCATGACTAGTGCTGAGCTTTTCCAATTGGCTAGCAAGCTGCACTTTCACATAGGTACAACGATACTTACTGCTATTAATACTACGGCTATGGTGTAGCGTAAACGAGATCTGCTACATTCGAACTATATAAGCGTAACTAAGGTCCCTAGTCATACTAAAATATTCCCTGTTAAACAGGCTGGGGAGGGGGGGGGTCCCTGTACACGTTCAAAAATATTGCATGTTCGTCTCTAGTATGCTAATAAGAGCAAGGTGTGTCAATAATCAATTACTTAGTTTAAGCCTCCAATGTTCGTGTTCACTGAGGAATACCAATCTGGATTTGATATACCTGATATACGGAAGATTGAGAGAAGTACCTCGGCCCATAACCATTGCTTCTTAGACTGAAAACCTTGGGACTCACATGTCAAGGAAAGAAGGAGATTATTCATCACTACATCTGAAACATACCCTTTGCACAAGAGTTTTTCCTGGAAACTGCTGGCTGGAAACTTTCAACGTTGGGGCTGCACATTGTGAGATATTTCTATTGAATCAATTTGATCAGTCAACTCCCCCAACAATAAAAGAGAAAGTATTATGCATAATATCCAAGTCTGCAATAGCAAAGGTACTAAATTCTTGTTTTGTTTCTCCTTAGACTATACTCGTGTTCCCTAAGAATGCTCCAACAGTAATAAAACTACTCAATACAACCATTTTTATCGATGCACCACCACCCCCGCCCCGTCGCCCATGCCCCTAATCTTGCCTTCAACTATGCGCTCGGCCAGGCCAAGCTCGGTACAAATCTCGTCGAAACAATGCATGCCATCGAGGAACTTGAGCATGGGCAAGCCGCTGGTGTCGCGCTCATCGACTAGGCTATTCAGACTCTGATGGGGATCATCGGGCTTGGGTGCGGAAAGGTGATGCGGGTTCGTTGGCTGGGACTGGTACCCTGCGTTGGGCGAGGTTGTGGAGGAGATGCTTGGTTTGTGGATGGAGAAGGATGGGTGGTGCGCGTGGTGGTGGGTAGTGGAATGCTGCGTCATGTTTGGTTGAGAAGCGTGGTGGACGCGGTCGGTGCCGCGAATGGTCGTAGTGTCCGAGTCGCGGAGGTTAGCGAGAGAGGTCGCGGCGCTGTTTTGCAGGCTGCTGGGTGGTGCGGGTGGGGGGAGGGACGACGAGGTGGCGATTGCGTATTTGTGTACGCGGTAGAGGAAGCCTTTGATGACGCCAAAGGTGATGAAGCGGCGCACGTCGATGCCGGAGAGGAGATCGAGGTTCTCCAGCACCCAGTTCTTGAGGGTGAGGCCCTGGCGGAGCGACGTGTACAGTGTTATCAGCGTCTCGTGGTTGGTCTGGATTGCCTTTTCCTCCTCCTCTTCCTCTTTCTTCTGCGCTGCAATGTGGTGGTCAAAATCAGAGACCTTGAGCGTGGAGCCTACCGTCTCGCTCAGCTGTGACGTAGACGAGGAAATCGAACTGCGCTCGTCTTGACTCAGGTCTGCCGACTCGCTGTCCATCCAGGATGCCTTGGCCTTGGAGCCCAACTTCATCCTGGGCACCCTCACGTAGCGCATGCATTCATCCTTGACCTCTGCATCTACAATGAATCCACCAATCTCGGCTGTCGGTGCGTAGATTGCTCCAAAACTAAAAATGTCCAGGAGAACTAAACATCCATAGTACACCAGGTGTTGAATCGCTTTTCGCGTCAATGAAAGGTCGGTATCGGCGAGCTGGGCGATGTGTGCTATTGAATTGACCCCGTTGATATACGGAAGGATCCGATTGAGTGTGAGATCTGAGGATATGGGTTGCTGAAGACTTGACATGGAGATTGTGAGCAACGGTACTTGGTGGGCGAGAATGGGTGGCGGGGGAGGCCGTGTGGGAAACAGCTTAAGGTTGATCGTGTTGGAATCGTCTATTTTGATCAATAACAAAGTCTATAGTTAGCCATGGAAATGACGTACCAATGGGTATCATGCATTCGGTGTAGTTATTCAGGTCTTCGAGGACCATTTCACAAAGCGCATACACTTTGCTTCCACCGCCTATCCCAAATCCACTCACCCCATCATCTGTAACATTTTCCATAGTTCCTCCTTCATCGTCCCAAACGCCAACCTCCTCTTTGCTCAAGAATCCACCCTGTTCCTCCAATCCCCTTAGCAAGCGCCCCAACTTTCTTGCCACTTCGCCATAGCAGGCCCAGTCACGTTCGTTCTCGCCAATGACAATGGCAAAGTTGAAGATGAATTCGTTCCTGCTGTATTTGCCTTCGCGTATGCAGACGGGATAGCCAATGACACGGTGGTGATTGACACAAAAGGTGAGCAGGCGATCGCAAAACTGCTGTGTGGGTATGAGGTATTGGGTTACTGCGGAGAAAGGAAACAGCGGCGTGGTCAGAGCAGAAGGGAGAGTAGAGGGAATTATGGCTCCCGGAGGAACTTGGTGGAGTACGCGGTTCCCTGCGAGCGGAGTTAGCGGAGGTCCCCAAACAATCTTCGTCGACGCTGTACCCTTTTCATGGTGGAAGCGTGTATAAAAGATGGCTTTGATTGCGCGCGTCGGCATTGCAGAGTCAGGCTGCACTACCGAGGATCACCGCCCACTACATGCTGAGTGTGAGGTTGGAGAGTCGCGATGTGGGGAGTGCGATGAGCTTCAGAAGTGTAGTGGTCTGTGCTCCAGCATTGGGGTACCAAGACATTTTGCCTTGGTTTCCTACCATGGTTAACACGACGTACTCGAGGTTTATGGTAAAGAATTATCAAGAACACCCGATTTTTCCCGAGCAAGGTTCATATTGTACAAAGTTACACCGAGACATGGCAGCAAATGGTGTATTGATTATATATAGACCTATTCAAAGCTTCATAAAGAAGAAAGATGGACGCTCAAGGTATACACAGAAGAGAAGATGCAATCCATAATCTACAACATGAAAATATGCTGGACCGATATAGGGCATGTGGAAGAGAGCGTTGAGGGTATATGGCGAAAATCGAATAACATGTCCCATCCAAGTAACACCCTTGTTAAGATACGGAATGACATGGCCACGTGAATATCGTTTTAGGCGTTAATGATGAGATTGCGTTGGCTGGGATCCTCGGGATAGGCTCCAAAGACAAATCGATATAGCTCGCGCAGCCACTTGAATGCTTCGCTACGGCCAAGATATTGCACAGATCGGCCAATCTCGAGTGCCGTCAGGCGGCGAAGTGGTTGTGCATGAATACCTCGCAAGGCCGGGTCCGTAAGAACCAGTTTTCGGTAACTATCGAACAATTGGCTTTGCCATGTTTCGGTGCCGAAGCTGTTGGAAGGTAGTGCGCGGATAAAGTCAGGTAGTGGTATTTGGCGATTGTAGCCCGTGTTGATGGCAGCCTTCATAATCAGCCCTTTGAGGCGGATCAAGGCCGGGTCTTCTCGGCCGGCAGTGGCGGTGGAAGACGTGTGTGCCGAAGCGTCGGAGTAGGTGGAGAGATTGGAAGAAGCAGATGACCAGCGATCGTGGGTTCGCGTCATGCCAGCCTCGGGACCTAGAACAAGAATATTGGGGACATTGGGCTCGTCTGCGGGCGAAAACTCCTCGCGATCGTCAAAGATGGTAGTCGGAGTCTCTGGTTGCATTGGCGTGGCCCTCCTCGACTGAATGGCCGAGTGATATGATTCGTTGACGCTCGAAGATCTCGCAGATCGCTCCGAGTATGAAGTCTGGGAGCGATGTGTCACCGAACCAAGGCCTACGGAAAAGCTGTGTTGAGATGGCCGCGGGGTGCTGCGCTCGGGTCGCACTTGAGTCCAGCCCTCACGGAACAAGTCACACAACTCCCAGCAAGCCTGGATGGCTGAGCCAAGCAATTCCTCGTCGGCGGGCTTCCCGTCTCGGCTGTTTTGGCGGAGACTAAAGAGCATCTCTGCCAAAGACCAGCAAGCATGCAGTAATGCATCCGTCTCTTCGGGAAGCGATGTCCGTTGCTTCATCAGGCGATGGCAGAGGGTCAGGTAAAAGTCGAGCGTCCGTTCACGGAAAGTCTCGGGCAGCTTGCGGTCGTGGGCATTGTAGAGATGATTGTTCAGCTCGAAGCTGACTCGAAGTACCGAATCCGACGCCTCGTCCCCGCGCTGGCGCACGTCGAACAGGGCTTGACAAAAGTCGCGGCAAAGCTCTAGTGTGGGTAGGATCTGCGCTGAAGGGTCTTCCTCGCGGCTCTCGTAAAGTTTCTGGCACAGGCGCCAGCATGTCCTCCAGGCATGCTCTTGGCTATCGGCGCTTCCGCCAGAGTAGTGGAACATGCGCGTCCGGTGGTGTTGACTCAATTTGGCCAGCGAGTTGCATAGGGTCCAGCATTCGTCGAGTGCGCTTCGAAGAGCGGCTATCTCTTTCTCTGTCTCGTGAATGCCAATGATGGCCTGTCCCATGGTCTGAGTGCCAGTCGATGCCGATTCGCCTTCTTGGGACTGTGACGACTGGCTATCGTCCTGCTCGATGACGGAGCTTGCGGAAGAATCAGTGGCGATGTGGTCTTCATACTCGGCAATGTCTAGGGCGCATTAGCCACTGTCAAACACGGTTGCATGTGGATGGGTACCCGTCAGGTTCAGGCTCTTACGGACGCTGCGCCGTCGGAGATCCTCTTCGAAATCCTGCCGTGTTTGCGCACGCGGTGTACTACGATCTGGGGCCACGGAATTGGACACTGCTGTATCAATTGGAGCGGCATATGCAGAGGCGGATGAGTCCTACATGTGATTAGGGCAGGTGACGAAGATTACAAAGGCAATGCACCGACCTTGTCGTCGACATCGGGCAGCATGTTTGCTTCTGGGGTGGAGGGCGATACGACGGCCGTGTTGTCCGACGTGTTTGGGCTCGACGACGCGCCAGATGTGTTGACGCGGCTCTGGTAGTCACGTCAGCCATGTCGTGCAACTACCACACAGGGCAAGGCAGGCGTACAAATTGCTTGAAGCTGTCGGGGGCATGGATGACGGAGGGGGGAGCCTCGTCGGAATCAGCCCTGCGCACCGTGGTGTTGAGCCTGTGGGTATGGGGCTGGAGCACACGTTAGACTGCTTGGCTAGGCTGCAGGGCGACGCGGGTGCGGGTGCGGGTGCGGGCGCGATACCTTTGGTTGCTCGTCGTGGCTCGTGGGGCTCACAATGTCGTCAGTGGCGGGCGACGGGAGGTCGCTCACACTCATGCCGTCGTCGCTCGGGGCGCTCTCCTGGGCATCGTCTTCAATCTGGAGTGGGGGGGTCAGCCCCACGCGTTCTCTGGGTGCGGGTTCATCATGTCGCCTACCTCGGTGTGGTCGGTGTGGACGGTGCCATTGCTGTCGACGGGCGAGGGGTCTACGGTAGCGGGATATGGGCTGGGGGGCGGTTGCAGGTGGTCCGACGTGTGTGCTGAGGATCTGGGCAAGGCCATGTTAGTGGGCACTGCACATGGATGCATGGGCGGGCGGGGGAGGGCATGGAACCTATTTGAGAAGACTTGGGCAAATGTGCCGGGCGAGCTGGGCGAGTCCGTGTAGGGGCTAAATGCCGACATGGACTTTAGGCCATTTGGTGACGGCATCAGCTGCGTCGCGGTGGCCATGCCTCACGGCGGTCTTGCACGAGGGCAGGGTTGCGAGTGTGCCAGGGCGGCGCGGGAGGTGCGCCGCGGTCAGGAGTGCGGCGGCGAGGTAGTTTTGGCGTGTGAGTGTGAGGGCGAGGGCGAGGGCGAGGGCGAGTGTGTGGACAAAGGCAAGGCTGAGCAGCGAGTCACGAATCAACAGGGCATGCGCGGCGCAAGAGGGCGGGCGGGCTGGCGGGCTGGCTGGGGGAGAGGAACGGGAGGGCCGGCGTGCAAGGTCAGGAAAGAAGGACGGAACGAGGCTTATCAGAGCAGGCCAGCTGCGGAACGAGGCTCAATGTGCTGGGGAGAGCGGCGGCGGCAGTGGTGGTGGTGGTAATGGGTGGCAGCAGTAGGAGTAATAGTAATAATAGTGGTGGTGGTGGAGGTGCTATGCAAGTCTGGCTGGGTGGAGACGCTCAGGTCGCTCGCATGGCCCGCTTACAGCTGGCCGTTCGCCCTCGCACGCCCACGACTTGGCGGCGCAGCAGGCGGATGGGCGAATGGGCGAATGGGCGAATGGGCGGCGCTGGCGGGGGCTGGCTAAGCGCCCAGAGGCCTCGCTACACGGCAGCCATGCTGAGCCATGCCGCGCCGTGTGTGCCAGAGACACGACGCTGGAATCCTCTGGCCCAGCCGTGGCCGGGGGGTTGGCAGAGCTGGGGTCGTCTGTGTGTGTAGCAAGTAGTAGTAGTATCTAGTATCCAGTATGTACGTACATAGTACGTATACACGGTGCCGAGGGCCTCGTTCCTCACCACCACCACCACCACCACCACCACCCCGCCAGCACCAGAGTCTGCAACTAGGCGACCGTTTTCTGCTGCAACAACACAGGCTAGCTCATGCACGTCTTCTCAAAAGGCTCCGTCAGGTGCGCCGAGGCAGCAGTGCGGATGCGGCACAGCACTGCACAGCAAACACTGGTGTTTCCTTCTTCCACCCTACCACGGCCAATGCCGCGCTTCTCCCCACCACCCCTCGCCCAAACACGACCACGACACCCCCTGGCGATTTTTTCTCTCTCTTCTCATTACACGCACATACACGCACACTGCACCTTTTACGACTCAGCTGCCCTTGGGCGCACTCCCTGCACCGCTGCCGCGTTTGACATTAGCCGCGCCCAAGGCTTGCCACTAAGCGCCGGAGAGCAGGGAAGCCGTCCTCTACTGGCTTTGGCCGCAGTCATGGCCTCTTGCGTGGCCGCTATGCCATGCTGCTGTCTGCTCAGTCTGCTCAGTCTGCTCATGCTCAGTCTACTCCATCTGCCCCTCATGTGGGCATCGACACTGAAGCCATCGACGAGCCCAACTCTGCCCAGTTGCACAACCACCACCAGGGCAGCAATACCACGAGCCAATGGGCGCGCTGGACGCGAGCGGGTGGCGGCCTCCCATTCGCTCTCGCCCTCGCTCCATGCCCCACTTCTGGTCGACCACTTTGTGTATTCCCAACCGAGCAAGCCCCGCTCTCTCCTACTGGCACTGGCGCCTGCTTGCCTTTGTCTCTTTGGCACCACCCCTCCCCCCCTCCACCAACGACACCTACATCCATCGGCCCATTCCATCCCGCACATCACAAGACGCGATAGCCGATCATGTCAACAACATCCCTTCTGCCTACTGCCACGCCAGATCTCGCGACACCGCTGTTTGCCCATCCCTGCCGCCATGCCTGTCTCCAGCGTGCCCATCCGCCAGAGAAGCCCAAAGTCGACATGAATTGGAAAAGTACCACGTTGAATCTACACCCACTCACACACACACAGGTCATGCACACAACGTTAAGCCAGGGCGAAGAACCCACGCCACCAACCCCCGTCCTTATCCCTTCATCCTTGACCACACAGAGCTGTCAATACCCATACTGCGACTATCCTAATAACTGACACTACGTCAGCAAGCAACCTCTGCCACCAACTACCAACACTCTTCGCTCTTCAACCTTGGCCTCGACCATGTCCACTAGCCTAGCTCCAGCTACCCTCGGTCGGTTGGGAAAGCAACACATCGCACTAATCCTATCTGCTACGCCGCAGAAGCTGCCGATTCACGCATGGAGCGATCTACAATGATTATCCTCCGATGTCCCAGCTCGTAAAAATACTCCTTCCGTGTCAGGCGCTCTCACTCCTGTCACTCCAACCTCGGTTGCTCCTCAGCCCTACCTGAACACAACCGTGCCTCTGAACCAAACGATGCGTTTTTCAAAGTCTGCCTTGGGCAACCAGAATACGTACACAACCTTGCGCCATTGACACCGTGCAGCACCGCCGAGGCTCGTTGTTCCACGACATGCCAGGATTTACTTCTTCTCTCAGCCATTTCCAATTGTGGAATGCAACATGCATTGGAAGAGTCTCGTCACCGCTGAAGCTGACTGTTGTGGCCTCTCCTGTGATTTGAAGCGGCTTATTCCTTACAATTATCAAAAACAAAAAAGCTTTTCAGTCGGAAAAGCTATTCCACGCCATATGAATGGTCACTCTTCCTTGACACCACCATCACTTTTTTTTCACCGGTTCGCACACGCGACTTGATTTCTCACTGACCGCATCGTGGGGGCCAAACCTTGACGAGGCAGGGATATGCTTGCCTGAATCGAGCAAATGGGCACACCACTTGTTTTTCTTTCCCACTTGCCATCTTCATCTGACATGAAGTGTAGTGCCCGCGGACAACTCTGACGACTTCTCCATTCGCCGTGACACCCAACAAAGTCCAACATTTACTTTTTTATCGTCAATAAAAGAAGTCTCGTTGTACTTGCATACTATGCTTTCCCATCGCTTATTTCCGGCTGAACCAACCGATTCTCACCAAGCCAACACCATGACTGCATCAACCAAGTCTTGTGTTGGTCAAGTATCCGTGGTAATGCCCGACCAATAACATAGCAATACCAACCGCCCGGCTCACAAAGCCGTACTGAGTCTGGCCCATGCATGACTCCATTCAACGTTCCCTTCTGCCGGGCGTACGCTACTGCTACACAACCCTCACACATGCTTGTCCCAAGCTTCATTTTCGCGTGCGTGGTTTGACTGTCTAGGTATCTTCTGCACGTCATGCTGCCAATGCATTTGCCATGGCGTTAGTGCCGAGTGCCCGCCCTACCGTTGCCTTGAGAAGAAAAAAAGGTGTTTTCATTGGCTTCCTTGGTTCGCTTAGCCTTTGCTTTTCTAGAGAGGAATGATTGGATTGACTAGCTTGCTGATGATAGAGGCAGCATGCTGGGGGATACTCGTTGCACATATGGAAGACGTGGACAAGTAAGAGGACACAAGTAACATGGCATCCATAGAGTGGCTCCATGAAACGTCAAGGCCAAGGAGAAGCTTGCCATATTGCTTCCACATCACTTGCTGATTGCATCGTCACATGACGCTTACAGGATGGCCAGGCTTCGTCGTCTCATTCTTTATTCTTCATTCTTCGTTCTCCATTCTCCTTTCTCTTTCTCTTTCTCCAATCTCCAATCTCATTGCGTCTTTCTCCTTTCTCCTTTCTTCAGTCTCTATTTTCCATTCTGCCTTCTCCTTTCTCCTTTCTTCCTTCTTCTTTGGCCGTTTCGTGGAAATGCTAACCACGTTCCTCAGCGTCCCAAACGGCAGCACATCTGAAATGCGCTTCTTGCTCGCAAATAGCATCACCAGCCTGTCCAGACCACAGCCCCAGCCCCCCGTCGGCGGCATCCCCCACTCAAGCGCCTCGAGATAGCTCTCATCAAGCTCTCCCTGGCTCTCGACGTGAAAGTCGCGCTGCAGCTCAAACTTTCTCCGCTGCTCAAACGGCGAGTTTTCCTCCTCGTAAGCGTTGACGTATTCGCGCCCGTGGATAAACAGCTCCACACGCGAGGCCACGCGCTGGCCCGTCGCTTCGTCCACGTACGACTTGGACAGTGGCGAGAGCGCCTCCGGGTGCTGGGATATAAATGTTGGCTCCTGGCATAGTGGCTCGATGTAGACTTCGGCCAAAGCATCAAGCAAGCGCGGCAACGTTGGGTTGGGTGGAATCTGGAGACCGAGTTCCTCGAACAGCCGCAAGACGGCGCCGGTCGAACTGGGCGTTGAGAGGTCGGGCAGTTTGCGCCCACTGGCTTGCTCAATCGTTGGAATGAAGGGGAGTTGTGCAAAGGGCAGCGAAAAGTCGATGCCTTGCGGGGGCGTCAGTGAGGGAAAAAACGATGGTCGCAGGGACTCAATGGCAGTGTGAAGGCCGTGGATGAGCTGCTCCGTCCTCGCAATGACGTCAGGGAGCGTGGCGCCCACTTCGTAAAACTCGCACGTGGAGAATTCAGGGTTGTGCGTGTTATCCACGCCCTCGTTTCTGAAGACGCGTCCGATTTCGAATATCTTGTCTTGCCCTTGGATGATCAGACGCTTGAGGTTCAGCTCCGGTGCTATGCGCAGGCGGATTGGCATGTCGGGTAGCTCGTTGGCGACCGTCTCAAAGGGGCGAGCCATGGCGCCTCCAGGCTTGACGTCGAAGATGGGCGTCTCGACCTCCAAGAATCCGCTTTGGATAAAGTAGGTGCGGACGTAATCGTATATGAGTGCGCGAAGACGAAGCACATCGCCAGGCTCATGGCTCGTGAGACCGTGTATATGGGGCCGTCGCGCGAGCGTCTCGGCATCGTCAACCTTGATTGGTAGGTGGTGAAGGCACGGAGCCAGCACCTGGGGTGCTTGGAGGGCTTGGATGGAAAGCTGTCCAGCTGGTGTCCTTGTTGGATTGCCTGTGATTGCTGGCGGGCATTAGAAGGTGCCCCAGGCAGAGAAGACAATGTCACATACAGATCCAGTCACCGACTCTAACCACCTTCCTGAAGCTGTCATAGTCTTCGCTCGCGCTGTTCTGCGTGAGCTTCTTCAGCTCAGACAAGACTTGCAGACGCTGTGTATCACGCTCCACGTCAAGAAACATCAAACCGGAACTAAGCTTCCGCACTGAGCGCACCCTTCCTGACGCGGTCAGAACGGACCGTCGGTTCACGGGTGGTGCATCCTACCAAAGACAGACACGACATCCTCGACCGTTTCCGAAATACCTTCATACTTTGCGTTGAAGTCACGCAGCGACAAGGTGTCGACGTCGGGCGAGTGCACCAGTCTCGGGTGATAGTCACCCAGCGACTTTACATCGGCCAGCTGCTCCAGCCGCTTCTGCTTCTCGACATGATGCGGGCCCGTGTACGGGTAGGCGACTGTGCGCGAAGCGAAGCGTCTCTGCACACCAAGGTAGGCTCGCGCATGGTGCGGCTTCAGCGACTGGCTGGCTCCGCAGAGGTAGGGGCGGAGGAAGTTGAAGGCGGGCTTGCTCATGTTTTCTTGTCGTCTGGTTAGCGCGCATTCACAATGGCTATTCGTGAACAGACGATTGGAGGAGAAGTTCAGTAAAGGGTATGGTGAAGTCAACCGCCCCGAGAGGCGTCATTCGCAACGGTTCTAAGGTTGTTTTGGATCATCATGTGGAGGCAATGCAGTAGATGCGAAAGCAAAAAGTACTCACCCGTGTCCCAGCCACGCCCATGTCTCGCAGGACAGCGGGCGGCATGTGGTGAAAGTGAGAATTTGGGCCGTGGGAGAAACTGCGCTGCGCTCAGACCAGCCCCAGCGCTCGGACACATACCCGCGGCGCCAAGAGATCACGTGTACGCTAATCGCTAGCGCCAGGCAGCGTCCTTTTAATCCGCGCCGTCTCCGTCCCTCCTCCTGCTTCCTCATACTTACCTTCTTGCGACTCACCAAGCTCAGGCATTTGGTGGTCTGACAACGTCGCCTCCATTGCACAGCGGGGTGTGGTGTTGTTATGAATCTCCTTCGGGGGCTTCAGCGGGGCAATTTTTGCTGGCCTGCCACTGTGGCATCTCTTTTTCATTGATTCGGCTGCCTGGCGCGGCGGATTGAGGAAGAAGGCGGCGTGTGGGACAGACATGGAAGCGGTTGCAAAGAGCGGCTGGTTGAGCTGCTGCTGGCGGTGCAGCTGCGCGACTGGCGTGAGGAGGCTGGTGCTGTTTCTCAGGAGATTTCTTTTCTCACAATCTGCAATCGGGCCTTTGAGCTGCATGGCTACCCAGCATGACTCTGTCGCAGGCTAGTTGGAAGCTTAATTTCACGACACGGCTGGTCAACTGCCTCGTCTTTGTAGCGTGGTCGATGGTGTCCGTGAATAAAGGCTGCCGTGTACAAATCTCAGTGTCGTGGCTCCTCCCCAGGTATCGTCTTGCCGTGTGACTGCGCTCGAAGCACCTCTCTGGACTTGGCCAGAGTACACCTACTCCACATACATCCAAACACCATCCATATCTGCCTTCCATCAACCTCCCGACGTCTGCCATGCAAACGGCGCCGAAGACAGGCCTTTGTACCTGCATTAGGTCTTGTCCAGTTCCCCGCGCGTCGCCCGCGTCTGCATTGCCTGCATGTCGCCATCCTCCATCATGGTCCTCAGTCGCAGCATACAAGTAAGCCGTGGTCGTCTCTTGCGTTTCTCTCTCCGCCCACCGCTTCGCATCCCCCTCAACGCCACCTCACGTCGCGTTTACACATGGCCCCACCCCCAGTTGTCCAGTGGGCTCTCCATCTGCCATTGCCATCGTGATCGCATCAACATTACAATGTCCCTACTGCTATGCCGATGATGCCGATGCCGCAAAGCATGGCATTCTGCCCATCAGCCACCCCGGCCGAGTTTCAACGGCCAAAAGACGCCCCGCCATGACATCGCCATGACGCGCGCCTGAAATTCTCCTTCGCCAACACCTACCGGCACCAGCACATGGCAACTCCATCTACAGCTCGCGTAGCGGACGTGTGCCCCTCCACAGCAGGTCATGACGTTGGGCTAGCCCCTCTCAGCGCATGTACAAGGGGGCGGAGAAACTGCTGGTTCGCGGTAGTTGTAAGAGGGCTGCAGATTCAACGTCACATTTTTTGGCAATCTATGTCATCGGTTTGACGTTGCAAAGTAGTGGAAAAGGTAGGGGCTCTGCTTGGGTCTCTCTTATATCTCTCCACTCAGGCTGTCGTCAAGTCTTCACATCACTTCATTCCACATACACAAGAACACTACAACAACCGCCCAAGATGATGTCCCAAGCAGCAATGCAGGCCGAAAAGGTCATAGGCCATGGCGACAACGCCACTACCGCGCAGGATGTCACCAACCCCGGCAACGACGAAAGGACGGCCGACAAGTCAGAAACCATGAAGGCTCTTGCGTGGTACGGCAAGAACGACGTCCGCATGGTAGACACGCCAAAGCCAAAGATCATTGAGCCTCGCGATGTTATTGTCAAGGTCACCGGATCCACCGTTTGCGGTTCCGACCTGCACTTGCTCCACGGCTCCGTCGTCGAGATGCAAAAGGGCGACATTCTCGGTCACGAGTTCTGCGGTGTTGTCGAAGACTGCGGCCCCGAGGTCAAGAAGTTCAAGAAGGGGTACGTTTTGTCTGTCATTTCGGACAAATACGCTGCTAACATCCTGTAGTCAACGAGTTGTTGCCTCTTTCCAGATCGCCTGCGGTGACTGCTACTATTGCAAGCAGAAGCTTTCCTCGCAATGCGAAAAGACAAACTCCAACACCATCGAGAATGCCATGTACGGCGGCCGGACCGCGGGCATGTTCGGATACTCGCACTTCACGGGTGGCTTCGCTGGTGGCCAGGCAGAATACACCCGTGTTGCCTATGGTGACGTGAACCTGCTGCCCCTTCCCGATGATGTCCCAGATGAGCAGGGTCTCTTCCTCTCCGATGTGCTGTGCACGTCGTGGCACGCTGTTGTCGACACTGGCGTCAAGCAGGGAGATGTGGTAGCCATCTGGGGGGCTGGTCCCATTGGCCAAATGGCTGCCGACTTCTCTCTGATGAACGGCGCATCAAGGGTCATCATGATCGACGCCAACTGGCGTCTCGACTTTATCAAGAACAAATACCCCAACATCGAAACCATCGACTTCTCTGCACTGTCCAAGGGAGAGTCGGTCACAAGCAAGCTCAAGGAAATGTGCAACAACCGCGGTCCTGACGTCAGCATCGAGTGCGCTGCTGGAGAGTATGCAAAGGGCTGGGCGCATTACTTTGAGATGATGCTTGGGCTCGAGACCGACACCAGCGAGCTCATCAACGAGATGATTACGAGCACACGCAACATGGGCCGCTGCGGTATCACGGGTGTCTACGTCGGCTACACCAACCACTTCAACATTGGATCTCTCATGGAGCGTGGCATCCGCCTGATTGGCAACGGCCAAGCACCCGTACACATGTACTGGGAATCGCTCCTCCAGATGATCCAGGAAAAGCGCATCGACCCTTCCAAGATGGTCACGCACCGTGTCCGTCTCGAGGACCTGGACAAGGTCTACTACAAGTTTGAGAAGAAGGAGGATGGCCGCCGCTGAGACAGAACCCCGCTGCCTTTATCTCGCATGAAACGGTTCACTTTTTCAGACGCTTGCCGGCTTCGCTGCACTACAAGGAGCTGTACTACCGCACCGAGGAGGCGTTTGAATGGAACATTGTCACAAAGTGCTTTTACGAGGGATACCATAGCGTCTTTGCTGCCGCCCATGTCGGTCTGGGCATCGACACGCCAGAAGAATGGTCGTTGAGCTTGTTTGGCCCCATATCAGAGGCATGGTCGGTACGCCGGTATTGGAGCAGGTACTGGCACAACTACATCTACCACTCCTTCTCGGGCCACATCAAGTGCGTGACACGGGGCTGGCTGGGCATGAGGCGCGGGTCCGTCTTGACACGCTTGGTGGAGAATACGCTCGTCTTCTTTGCGTCGGGACTGATGCATTCGCTTGTCCGTTGGCAACAGGCTCCCCAGGACGACGTCTGGGCTATTACCGTTTTCTATCTTGCGCAGATGATTCCTCTCGTTATTGAGAGCGTCGTCGTGTATTATTGGAGGAAGGGGAAAAAGACCATGGGGCTAACCGACGACAGAAAGTGGCTGAGCTGCGCAGAGTATGCTATTGGATATGCTTGGACCTTTGGCTGGCAGTTTTACAGCGTGTCGACGTACTACCTGGTGAGGCAGCAGTGGACAAACGAAATGATGCAGAAGAAGTGGGAGGCCGAGTTTGCAAGGATGCGTCTCAATGAGACAACAGAGTGAGAAGCGCATTTCCAACTGAGGAGTGATGCTCATGGCTTCCGAGGCATGATAGAGCCAAGAGCTGTCTTTCGTGTATACTTGGACAAGCTGTCTTTTGTGTATACTTGACAAGCTGTCTTTCGTGTATACTTGGACAAGCAGGGTAAGAGAGTGATTATAATTCGGATAATGTCAAGCAGACCACAGTAGAAAGTCTCAAAGTAGATATACATGGAATTCATGTCTTCATGATCGTTAGCATTACATTCTTGTTGGTATCGTTAAACTACGTGACTACTCCCCCCCCCCCCACCCATTACATGATTAGTATCTGGTCAACGCCGGGCTGGTCTGGGATGGCGGGAAACTCCACTTGGTCTCGACAAAGACCTTTTGCATAAAAGTGCCGATCGTACGTGTCCCATGCACGCTGTAGAGCATACATGGCGGCTGCTTTGAGCACGTGGTAGCGCACGAATTGCCAGCGCGAATACCCGTGTTGATAGTGGCTTGTTCCTGTTTCCCGGACAATCTTCTTCGCAGCCACGACGACGGGCTCGTCGGTTTTCTTATCCGTCGCAGTGTACACCTTGTCTGGATTCGACGGTGCAGCAGAAGTAGTAGGGAGTGTGTCCCGCTGCTGCTCAAGCACTTGTGCGCGGCTCCGATCAAAAAACACCTTGTATGCCTGCCTGAACCGGTCCATGACCTCGCCGGGCTGGCCGGGCTGGCGCACAACAGGGCGGAACTCCAGGACGCAGACCTCGAAGCTCATGTGTGCGAACCAGATGAGGCATGCGCGGCCAAAGGTGTCGACGAGGTCGTAGTTGGGGAACATGTGGTCCGAGTACCGGAATACAATTGCTGTTGGTATGGCGAGAAGGAGGATGCAGAGTTTGCGGCCAAGCGAGGTGGAAGGGGGGTATGCGAGGATGTACAGCGAGTAGATGATGGAGGGGATGCTGATGCCCAGGGGAAACAGAGCGAGAGACGGTGTCCAGTTGGGATGCACATATTGGCCCGGCATGTTGGGCACTTGTGCGTGTGTTATTGCGAGATGATGGTGTTGCTACGCAGGGTTGCGAGAAGGTCGAAGGCAGTTGCAAGAGTGCTAGGAAGAGAGCCTTGAAATAAGGTGAAGGAGGGGGAAAGTACGGGTTGCTTGTTGCATCCGTGGTTCGTGTGCGGGCAAACGCTTGCATGTCGAGTTGTCGAGTCGGGGTCGTCCAATTCCCTTTGCCGGAAACAAAATAGCTGCGCAGTCATGACTTCACTTGTTGTCGGAAAAGGGCCTAGATGCACCCACTTGCAACTCTTTTCAGGAGACTCACCAAACATCTAGGCGCCGCTTTCACTGAGTAACGTCAGATTCACTGTGTCAAGATGTGCGATACTCACACGCAGTTGCACACTTGTGTCTTTTGATTTCATCCATTGCTCCATAATGTCTTGGGAGAAAAATACCATTTGCAAATACCACGGAAAGCTCTGCAGCGACCCACGTTTACAGAACCGACTACATGTAAACGACATTCTACCAGTTTTGTGAGCCACTGGTGAATGTTGCAAGAGTATGGATAGTGGCGTCACTATCACGCGGATATGGTAATGGAAAAGACTTGACAACAGTGTTGGATGCCTGGCTCATGACATTGTTTCTTCTCTTACTATGATGATATATATTCTTACAAGCATTGCAGACTAAGCGCATGTCAAGCACCGAAATAAGTAGCATAGAATAGGCGGTTGCATGCAGAGAAGCGCTAGAATCTTTGTTTCCTGCCTTACGAATTTAACGCAATCATGTAGGCAGGTTGATTCCTCGCTTATTTCTAGCTCAAGCATGCATCTTCTCTTTTCTGGTTCCCCTAATATGCAGCATTTCCCCCCCCCCCCCCCACGAGGTCAACTGGAAAAGGGTCTGTTTTTCTCGTGATTCAGTGTGTTTTTGTTGGGCAGACTAGCCAGAGCCATGTGCTTTATGCCTCGTAACAAACAAAAGGGTCTGAAATGCAAGTTGACTTGTTGATCCCAGCCCTGCATATCGATGTTTATGGATTCTAATGGCATTCCAGTCGCTTGCTATGTGGTATAGCGGACGAATGCATCGAATTACTATTCAAAAGCCACTTGAACGTGGGAATTGCTGTCACTGTCAACAAGTGTGGTGACCAGTCGTAGATAGATTAAGGTAGTGGGGAGCTGAAGCATGTGTGGGGAAAAGCCGCATTGCCTTGGCCATTTATCTCGGACAAATTCAAAATGGAGATCGTCTTCGGCTTGTCCTACCAGGCGACAATGCCCGCGTGCCGATCGTCATTGCAAAACACGGGCGATTTGATAACACGGAGAAGCGAAATTCATGCAAGACAGCACATGTGCGTGTATTGGGCAGGGAGAAAACTTTTCTTGCGGGTTGGTGATTGCGTTGCGTTGTTGATTGTGTGCAAGCCCGTTGTCCGATGGCTGGGAAAGCGCCGACAATCTGGAGTGTACACTTAGCCAAGGCAAAAAAAGAAAGCAAAGAAAGGCAGTTCAAAAGGCCAGCTGAGCCACTTTCGCTTGAGGACATGCACAGTCACCGCCACGCGTCCAGGGGGAGGGGGGAGGTAGGGATCGTAGAGCCAAGAGTCGGCCAAGCAAAGAAGAAAAGGCATGTGCGCAAGATGGATGGATGGATGGATGGAAAGAAAGAATATAATATCAGAAAAAGCCGCTTTTCCGCGCCGTTGACGCGTCTTTTGATGATGGTGGTGTGCAGCGGGCTGTGAGCAGCGGGAGAAGTGGTGTTGGCAACGAGGGTCGTGGAGCCGAAGTGTCTTGGGTTGTTGGTGGTGGTGTATCGGTCTCGGCCATGTCGTTGGCGATAGGGGAACGGCGTCCATGGCGCCCAGACGAACATCAGGGTCCGAGTGCGAAAAGCCGGGCAGACAAACAGGCGGGCGGGCGGGCGAACGAGTTACATTCCTTTGGCGCGCTGCTTGCGCCACGACTGGCTTGGTCCTTGGCTTTCCCATTTGGCCTGAGACGGATATTGATGTTGATATCCATGTTTGGCGTTTCTGTATGGCTGCCAACAACGACATGTCTTATTATCGGCCAGCGGGAGTAACAGCCATAACGCCCAACGGCCCCTAGATGGCGTATTCGTGTGTGGCCCCCATTATTCATATCTACTCACCCTTGGCCCCCGCATGGCTATTTCCGCACCACACACACACACATAAGCTGGCATGTGTTTACATTAGTAAAAACAGGCCAACCACCTACACCTACATGCTTGGATACACAGCCCAGCCACACAGCTGCAGCCACGCACCCGCCTGTCGGTCCATGTCATGCTTCCTCGGCACTCCGCTCGCCTGACCACCGGAAGCGTACCCGCGTCCCAGCGCCAACCTCGCCCTCCAAGCCCGGGACGCTGGACAGGCAGGCAAGGAATGCGCACGAGGCCGCCCGTAATCTGCACCTCTTTGCCAAGCCCCTACCCACACACCCACGCATAAGTCTAAGCATATGCGCATGCAGGCGGTATGCACGAGCACGGCGCGGGCGGGAGAGAGCGAGAGAAGCGAACAGGCTGGGCTCTGCTGGACATGAATGAATACCCCGCCGAGTACATAGGGGTAGGGGAGATAAGGCAGAGGAAATGCGCCATGTGTGTGTGCGTGTGGCAGTGAGATGAGAGTGAGATGAGAGGGAGAGCGAGAAGGAGAGCAAGAGTGAGTGCAGCTCGACGACAGGGGGGCGTCCCCTCCCCTTAGCGTACCGGACGGACTCTTGGCAGCAAAAGTGGGGCCCGCAACCGCGCTCCCACTCCCACTCGCGCACCAGGTGAAGGGTGTGAAGGCAGCTGTCGCGACAAAAAAAAAGAGAGACTCGCCTTGTATCTGAATTGTTGAAGTGAACAACACATACACGCAGTTGTACAATGTGTTCTGGGTTTTCATTTCTTTTTTTCCCAACACAGAACACTGCTAAAGTAAGGGGATGCGCATATTACGGCTGCATGCAAACACATGTAGGTATGCATGTGGCAAGGCAAGTGCAAGCAGCAAGCAAAATGGCCCATGTGCAGCCTTGGATAATGCGGTCGGCCAGACACTCGCACTCGAGATGGCCTTGATTACGCCTAGTCAAGCGCGGCTACTTGGCCTTTGTCTCTCTATGTAGATTGGGATGGGCGGCGTGCGTGGGGACGGCAAGCGCATGGCGTACCGGCTGCGGCTGACAACTACGTCATGACCGCCGCCGGACAGAGACAAATCACCCTCCTCATGCCAATACCGTCGAGTCGTGGAGAATTTTTCTCCTTGCAGCTTGCTTCTGCCCGATGCTCCTAGCCGAATGTGGGCGCCCATATCCCGCATGCTTCTTTGTGGAAGGTGACTGACGCTTGGCGCCTCTGCTCCCACCATCTTGGGCAATACTGCGCTTCTGCAACTGTGGCTGCAACTTCCTGCGATAACAACAAAGCTAACGCACCCTCGCCTGAGGCCATCACGCGCCAAACCCACCACTCTACATCTACTCCCTTGGCAACATGACATCAAGCAACAACTACTGGCGCACGCTTTCAGCTTCAAGTTTTTTTTTTCATCATCGAATTTCTTTCTTTGCCAGGCTCCCGACTCGCCTTTTTACATACAGCTATCGCCAATAGTCTTGCTCGTAGTGACACGTTCAACGCTTGCTCAACCGCGCCCTATGCACAACAGCCTTGTTGCTCTCAACCCAGTTGAACTCGAAAAGAAAATGAATCAACAATAAAAATAAAAATAGAAGTAGAAAATAAAAAAACTCCGTGAAATGCGATGAAGCTGGTATCCGCAGATATTGAACCCGAACAAAAGAAATCGTTACCTAATGTAGGAAAAAAAAAGGAATATTTGCAAAGTGCAACTGCACCCGTCCGGAGGTTCTCATTTGGGTCTCCGTCTAGTGTACCGCGTCTTGCTTGATTATTTTGGAATATGCCGCCGCCTAGGCCATGTTGGCCGCGCCATGCTTTTCGTCCTCGCTCTTCTCAAACATGGTGTCTTCGAGCCACTTGGTGGCCTTTGCGCATTGTGCGTCGACGTACGTGGTCCACAGATGGGCGAGTGTGTATTCAACAACAAAAAACAGCGGAATCGCAATCGTCCAGACGAGCCAGTTGGTCGTCCTGGGAATGTAGTGGGGGATGCCCTCGCCTTGGCCGTCCTTGGGCTCCTCGACGTAGTACGGCGCCGTGCTGAATCCGTAGATCAAACGCGCGAGCCCGACTTTCATCACTGTTCCGTGCGTGAGGTACACGGCGAAGCTGTTGCGGCCCACCCACATGAACAACTTGTTGGAGAAGATGCTCTGTAGAGAAGGCGATAGCCAGATTCCAGTCACCATGAGGTCCCATCCAATGGCCGTGAAACGCTTTGGGTAGCTTGCTGCGCCGTTGGGGATGATGTAATCTCCAATGTTCTTGAGCTGGACAGACCAGGCCGACCACTCCCAGTGCTCACCGGGGTAGCATGCCACGTACCAGCCGAGGAGAATGAGGAAAGCCGTGGCGAATCGGCGGGCCTTGACCCGGTTGTTGACAAAGTCGCGGAAGCCCTTTTCGGAGCCGAGGTCGCAGAGAATGACGCCGTACAGAAACTGGCACTCGAACGTTTCTGCACCATGTCAGCATTACACTTTGGAATCCGCCCAAGGACAACATACCCTTCTCGGGGCTAGTGCGCATCCAGTACCAAAAGAACAAGACGATGCAGGTAAAGAGACGCATGCGGAACTTCATGAAGACGGTGGCGAACAGCAGGACGTAGATGAGGAAGGCGCCCTGGAGCAGGGGCAGGAGAGCCCACTGGTGGTCGTCGTACTCGTTGTTTGCGCCCGACCACGAAGTCTGGAAGTTCTTGATTAATCGCGGGATTTCCGTGTCGAGGCCGCCAATGTTGGTGGGGACCGAGCGGCGGAACCAGTGCGAGTCGCTAAGGTGGGCCACCTCAAAGGTACCCAGCTGAGCAAAGAACCATGCAATGACCAAGGCAATGGTGGCGGGCATGATCAGCCGCGGGGGGCGGCGGAAAGCCGACTTGCCCAGCGTCTCGAGGGCAGCAGGAATGTTTCCAGACTTTGCCTGGCGGAGAGGCTTGATGGCGCAGACGTAGCCGGTGAGGAAGGCAAACATGGTGACGCCGATGCGGCCCTGGAAGGGCAATCGGATAAAGGGCAGCTGGAGCAGCTGCGGGGCGGCATTCTCGCTGTCGCGCGGCGACCAGAGGCTGTAGTCCCAAGCGCGGCACAAGTGTGTTACCACGACCCAAAAGGAAGCCACGCCACGAACACCCTGCAGAGTGGTTAGAGGGGGAGGCGGGTGCGGACAGGCAGGCGACGACATACCTCTACCCAGGTAACATTTTGGCGGTTGCTCGAGGCCATTCTGCCTGGACCAGCAGCGGGTTCGAGAGGCGTGGCAAGGCTGGAGATGGTGGCACGGGCGAGCGACAACGGGGCCTTTGTGAGAAAAGACATGTGCATTCAGACGGCGGCGGCGGCGAGGCGGCGAGGTGATGACAGGCGGGGGGGGGCGGGGAGGAGACCGCGGCCAGGCGAAGGATATATAGCGGCCGTGTTGCAATGCACAGGAAACTGGAGAGTGGGCGAGGCGAAGGAGAAGGAGAAGGGAAAAAAGAAAAAAGAGCGACTGGGAAACAAGTATAGCAGATGGTGCATTGGGGTGGATTGGATCGGGCCCACGAGGCAAGTTAGATGGACGGCCGGGGTGCAAGCAAGTTCCCCCATGCGAAGACGGCATCTCGGATAGCATGTCTTGGCGCGGTAGAGGAGGTGTCGAGCAGGAGCCGCGCAGGCGCGAGTGTAATTGGCTCTGGGGCTGAAAGGGGGAGCAAGCGCCGAGCCTGCATGGGTGGCCGCGTCATAAGGCTCGGCGGCTGGTCGAGAGGCTGGAGCGCGCGCGCCCACCCTGCCACTTCCACTCTGCGCTCTCTTCTTGGGTCGCCCCCCCCCTTCCGGGCACCCCCGGTCCCCCCCCCACTGGTTTCAGCACCAACGCGTAGGGCCTTGGTAAAGACAGCGGCCGCTTGGGCTGGTGTCTGGCTGTGGCTGTGGCTGCGGTGGTGGCGTGGGTGGCGGCTCTCGGCACGCTTGCACGACACAGGCCGTGGCAGAGCAGTGGCAGCGTGTCCCCGCGGCGCCGCCATCAGCGTGGCAGTGGTAGTGGTACTGCATGTCTGTATCGACGTACGTATGTATATGCCCACCGACTACACCCAACATGGGCCATGTAGGTAAGCATGGCCGCATTGCGCCCGGCCCGGCCACTGTTGAGCCACAGAGGGTCCCCGTGTGTAGATTAAACGCCTGCCCGCTGTTTGATGTGTCCTGGGGCCGCGCAATGTTGTACGGCGCGCCGTCGGTCGCCTACAATCAATACTCTGCTAGGCACAATGCGTCACCCGCCGCTGCGTCATCTGTCTACGCGTTGTTGGTGTTGACACGGCCGGGCCAGGCCACGCTGGAATGAGGCTCTGCGAAACGCGCCTTCCCTCCTCCAATCCCACCGCCTCGCGCGTTGCACTTGCTCTTGCTTGCCCTGGCCTGCTCCTGCCTGCTCCGGCCTGCACCTGCCTGCACCCCCCACCATCACCCGCCGGCCCGTGCGCCGCCGTCGTAAGCCACACCACCTCACATCACACTACCACTGCCGCCATGGCTATCACTACCACGACGAGGCCAGCAACAATGCCATCCGTCGCCCTCGCAACTGCTACTGTTACATGTCTGATGTCACGGCCTGGTCTTTCTTGGCTGATCTTGTCTTGCCTGCCTCGCCCTGCCTCGCATCGCATTGCATTGCATGCCGCCGCCGTGCTCTGATCTTGTTTGTTTATTCACCCCGTCTGGCCTCGCGCACGCGGCTCTACTCTGCCATACTCTACCCTACTCTGCCCGGTCCTGCCCTGCCCCCCCTAGTGATTCTTCTCAACAATCTCCTTGGCAAAAGCTGCAAAGTCCCTCTGCTCGTCGACCCTTTCCCACAGATTCGGCTGCGTAAACACGGCCAAGGTGTTCCGAGCCACGCTCCCCCCGCTGCCGCCCGTCGCCCCCCGCACAAAATGAGGCACCGCCTTGAACTTGCCCTTTGTGATGATCTCCAGCGCCTCGCCCGTCTGGAACGCCAGACACTCACGTGGAATGCCCACCTTGGTCACGGCACCCGTGCGCGAGTGGATGTACAGGCCAGCTTTGGCGTCGGGCGGCCGCTCAAGCTCCCCCAGCGGCTTGAACAGCGTCCCGCTCTGCGGCGCCTGGGCTGCTTCGTCGACAAACATGGCCGACGTCAGCCCGGTCAGACAGCCATGGTCGATGTGTGTAGCACACCAGTCGTCCTCGTCACCATTCCCAGTTTCAGCACCACCGCCCGGCACATCCGAGCCTGGCGCGGGGAAGTAATGCAGTAGCCTGGCTTTGGTAGAAACGCTTGTCTGCACAACATGCTCCAGATAGCCCGCTTGGTACCCCTCGATGTTGGCTTCGGCGTATCTGTCGCATGCCCTAGCCACCAATGCCGCAATGTCTATGATTAGAATACACAGCTCGCGGAACGTCGCCTCGAAACCTGGCAGCACCTGCTCCGACGGCCACACGTTGGGAGCCGTGTACTCGGGGAACGATGGGTACTTTTCCGCCACCGTCTGCTGCTGCGCTTCAAATCCACGCGCGCAGTTGACGTAGTAGGATCCTTTGAGCGTGTCGTATTTGCCGTCTTTGAGCGTCTCTTTCCCGCACGACCATCCAACTAGCCACTTGGACCCAGGCGACTCGAGCTTTGCTGAGACGCCATCAGCTTCTTCCAAGACTTGTGCAAAGCCATAGCCATTGCTTACCTACCTAATTCGTCCTGAGGCAAGTTCCCCAGCGCAGATGCATACGACAACAGCCTGTGTCGCAGATCATGGAACTTGGAAGGAAGATCCTTCACCACAATAATGCCCAGGCTCGAAGGCCCAAAGGCTTCCTCGAGCACGGAAAAGTCGACGTCGTCTGCAGTGGCGCCATCAGCCACGGTTCCATATCCGCAACTCTACTTACTGCACCGACCACTCACTGTTTCTGAGAGCCTCTAGCCCGACCGTCACCGCGCTCTGGTTGACGGCAGCGTTAGTCTTGGCCATGCTGAGCTGTTGGAAATACAAAAATAATTCAAGGTGCTCGGCTGCTGCGTGTATGTCGTCAGTTTTCACCCGCTTTATTGTCGTTTGGTAGCGTGCAAGCCATGCTGGCCTGACCTCGAGTCTCGACCTGCACCTGCCTGATTTGCTTCAGCCTCGGCCAACTCCGACACCTCACCTCCGACGCCAAAACCTCCCACTCTCCACACAACCACCATGCCAAAAGCACTCCACTTCAAGGGCGACAAAAAAGTCAAGAAGCGCAGAAAGGCTGCCGACCCCTACGATGCCGACGACGCCCACGCCAAGCACCCTGCCCCCAGCGCGCCTGCCGAAGCCGAAAATGACGACTCTTGGGTGAGCGCGGATGCGCCCAGCGACATCTCGGGACCCATTGTCATTGTACTTCCGACCGACAAACCGGCTTGCTTGGCCTGCGACGCCAACGGCAAGGTGTTTGCGAGTGAATTGGAGAATATCATCGAGAGCGACGTTGCGACGGCGGAACCGCATGACGTTCGCCAGGTCTTTGTCGCAAATCGCGTCGCAGGCACAGAACAGCTAAGCCTCAAGGGCCATCACGGAAGGTCCTGAAATCATTCCACCAGCTCCCTGGCCCGCCAACTGACTTGGCTGTAGATATCTTAGCTGCGACAAATTCGGTATCCTGAGTGCAACCGCAACTGCCATCTCGCCCGAAGAGACGTTTCTCGCCATTCCCGTGCCCGACAATGCCTCTGCCTTTTCCCTCCAGACCGCCCGCGACAAGTTTCTCAGCGTGGAAGAGCACAAGGCAGGCCCTGAACTCCGCGCTGACAAAGAACATATCGATTTCAACACAACGTTGCGCATACGCATGCAGGCGCGCTTCAAGCCGCGACTCAAAGCGAACAAGGAAGAAAAGGCCAACATCAAGATTAGTCGCAAGGAGCTGGAAGACCAGATCGGCCGTCGGCTAAACGATGCAGAGGCAAAGAAGCTGAGAAAGGCAAGGGTCGAGGGAAACTTTCACGAGACGGCCCTGGACATGAAGGTCAAGTCCAGCCACGACAAGTACGCCAGCATGTGAAGGATAATCGTACTCGTCACGTCATATCCGCGAAGAAACAACACCACCATGGCGTGCAATGGCAACACGCATCCATGAGCGATGACTGCGTCTCGCCTTCTGTGCGACGCTGCGCACACCACCGAGCGAATTCCCATACTCTGCAAGACTGCACAGCCTTGATGTGGAGACCATTTAAAAACACCACTCCCCACACCCTTGTGGCTCAGCACACCGTCTTATCCGTCTTGGCATTGTCGCGCAAGACTGGCGGATGGATCATACGCGGCCTACTGTACATGTGGTCTCATCTGATTTAGCTGATCGACAAGTGACAATGCGTACTCCTACTACATCTTACAAGTGTTGGTCAGTGCTTGGTAGCAGCGAGTTTCGAAGACCTTGAAAAACAAAATATATACAAACAGGACGTACCAGGCCCTCACGCCAGATAGATTATTACTTGAAACATCTAGCTAGCTAGATACGTACCTGTTTGTCATTATGCAAATCACCTCCACTTCTTTCCCTGGTCCGGTTGCTTCATATTAACACCCACGTTTTCTAACACGTGAATCTCTACACCTGTATCTTTAATGTAATCAAACTACCCTGTGGCATAATAAAATGCCGTCTTACGCCAAGTTGTACACATCGCTTACGGCAATTGCTCGTCTATAGCAACAATACTATTACCGCCATGTCTCCTCTGGTTTCAGGTGGAACACCAACCAAGAAGGGTAGAACAGTACTTTCTGTGCATGCATATTCATTACATCATATAATCTAACACACACACATGCACATACGTCTAACATTATATCCACATACTTGCGAGGCACATCCAGCATCATATTTATATATTCTGTCAGACAAATCTAACATCATATCCTTATTATATATATCTATCAGACATATCTAACGTCATATCCACATACTGTGCCAGACACGTCAACACTATTGCAATTCCAGTGCAATTCAACAAATTGACATGTATCATACATTACACTTATATATATATATATATATATATATATATACATCTAGAACTTGTACACCTGGTCCTTGCTGTACCCAAGCTCCTTCAGGTAGCCCTCGAGCTCGCCCTGATCAGATGGACTCTTCTTGCCTCCACTGATGGCCTTGTACATGCCCGGAGGCCCGCAAACAAACAGCTTGATCTTCTCTCCCTCCTTGGGCTCCGGAAGGACCGTCTTGAGAAGCTCCTTGGTAATGAATCCCTTGCCTCCCTGCCACGACTCAGGCGGGTTGTCCAGCACGTAGAAAGCCCGGAATCGCTGGGGGTACGTGTTTTCCAACTCCTCCAACTCGCGCTTGAGCAAAATGTCGTTTTCCGTCACGTTGCCGTAGATGAGCGTCACCTTGGTCTTGTCCTCGGGGTTGCGGAAAATGTGTCGTGCTGTTTGCCACATGGGTGTGATGCCCGTACCACCGGCAATCATGGCAACGTGCTCAAACTTGTTTGCCTGCCACTGGAATTTCGGAATAGGTCCCTTGATGTCCAGTCGCTGCCCAGGCTCCATGCTGTGCATGTGCTCCGACATGGGGCCACCTTTGTATGCCTTGATGATGAAATCGACCGTGCCCTTCTGGTCTACATCGCTGATGGGAGTGTACGGACGGATGACGGGCTTTTGCATCTCGGGGCCCTTGTACTTGGTGATGACGGCAGCTATTGAAAGTTAGCGAGTCCTCATATATTCCTTCGAGGTGGCCATACAAGCTACAGGAAGGCCGCTCTCCATGTCGTCCTCGGGCAGCTTGAAGCTAAGCAGCTTCGTGTTGTGGTTGACGATTACGGACTTGTCCAGGACAAGCGACAGGAAGCCTTGATCGCCTCCAGTGAAAGCCTTCTTGACGGGGCCGTCGGTCGAAGAGGGAATCTTGTTGGCCTCCGCTGAAGGTGGTGCCCTGCCCTTCTGTCCTGATGGCGAATCTCCACCCCTCATGAACAGGTAGGCACCGGCGAGACCAGCAGCGCCAATTCCCATGTACAGTACGCCATTGTTACCGCCGCTCTTTGGGGGCTCAGATGCATATCGGCGGACTTGCTACTCTCTGTATCAGTATGTGGCCGAAGACTGCGATGATTTGTAATGCGCGAATCAATTAGAACGCGGGCGCATACCTGGTGCAGCGCCTTGGCCGGGCGGAATACCTGTCTGGCAAACATGGCGAGACGAATTGGTACGGTGAACGGGTAATTGGGGTGGAATTGAGTTGCGGGAGCGAAGAGAAGACGTTATCGAGGTACCAAGCTTGCGCTCGTCGAGCTAGCGCCAAGCAGCAACCGATGACGTTTGCTGCAATGACGCCGAAAAGTCCGAACGCAGCACCACCCGCCATCTTCATCCCCAGCCCCATGAACATTTGTTCCGAGACAGCCATCAATTGTGTTTGCCACGACGTCACCATTGTAGCAACTAGCAAATGCAAAGTTGACGGGCTTGAGACATGTAACAATTTGAGTCAACTGCATCATCATGAGAGACACCGATGTCAAGATCGTCCCAAAAACAATCGACGCTTAATGCATGCACACCAGACATACATGAAATGTTCTGGACGAGTTTCACCAAGCTGCCGCTATTTGAGCTTGTTCCTAAAGACAAACAGCTGCGCCTGAAATGTTTCTAAACAATACTTGCGGGATTAATAAGTGTGTTCAGGTGAAGGATGTCTCTTCATGGGCGCCATAGTTCCCTGACGAACAATAAACTGCTCCAATTCAGGTAGAGCTACAAGTTACATAACGAATCAGTGGTGAAATAGCACTGCTAAAGTCAGTAACGGATAACACTGCAGTGAATATCGCACGAACAGTGTCTCCCGACCATTGGTCTTCAAGACCTGAAGTAGCCGATAACCCACCCGATCCTATACACAACCCGTCGAATGACACCCACAAGTGGCCATCCTTTCGCACCTTGAGCAAAGTGAACTTCCTGCTCTTCAGCTTCCGACAAACAAAGTCACACAAAGATCAAAGAGCGATCGCAGCCTAAGAAGCATACCTGCGAAAAGACCGGAGTATGCCGACGGATATGCAGCCAGATAAAGAGGCATCAAATCACAATTACGCTCTCACATCCGACGCAATCCCAGAACCACCTCTGAGAACTATTCCAGAGAAACTTCATGCTAAAGACATGATGGTTGGCGATTTGCTGGCGGCTACAGATAATTTAGAGAGTCTCAGCATATCTCCCAGAAAAATATCAAAGGAGTTAGCTGATCATAGCGAGGAACCTGCAGTTGTGACTTCCAAAGTAGCGGAGGACTTGAAAGAGATTCAGAACTGTAACAACGATCACGCGAACGAGGTGCTGATTTCTACTCACTCAAAAACCGGTATGAAGATCGCTCGAGGCATTGCCTCTGGCCCACTTCGCCCGGCACTGAAGAGTGGCGCCTCCAAGTCACCCAAGCTGGTAAAATCAGTGATCATCAACCCTGAAGCCACAATATTCCCAACCAGGTACACCCCGCTTGAGAATGTACCACATCATGAATACACCACGGCTGAAAAGCGCCATAAAAGGTCCAGTTACAACAGAAGCTCACGTCTCTACAAGTCATCAACATGGGCTAGCCCTGATGGCTATGAGAAAATCAACACTAGTCATTTTAGAACGAATTGGGCAATGTATTGCCGTATGCACCGGGTTATGGACCGCTTAGAAGCGAAGAGTTCGAGTATGTCTAAAACAGCAAGGGAGGATTCTATACAGTCTGCTGTAGAACATGGTTTCAAACCAAGAAGGCAAAAGCACAAGGGTACATGCAAGAGCAACAGTAGCACGGCAAAGCAACCTCTTTCTGGGTTTTACTATTCGGGTCCTCCGATAAATGCGCCAAGAGGAATACCCAAAACGACAAAGTCGGAGAGTGTGGAGGGGGAGCTACAAGAGGGGGAGAGTTTGGAAGATATATAAAGTGAGCGATAGAGAACAGAGCTGACTTACCTCCGAACTCATGAATGAGAAAGAGGCAAGAGAAAGAGGCAGTGATGTAGAAGGTTATGTAAGCTTCTTTCTTTGTGGCATGGTTGTAGGACGTGAAGCGCGCTTTACATGGCCAAGTGTACACTTTTCCCTATATCTCAATCATTCAATGTCGCACTCCTGACATCACATACAGAAGCATTGTGGCTCCATTGGTCAGGGGTCATGTTATTTGTTCCTCTTGAATTTAAAACTCAGCTATATACTGTCTCTTGACTACACCTCTCCAGATCTGCTTCCAGTGACATTCCTATTTCTCAACACTCTATCCAATTAACAACAGCAAAAAGGCCAAGCTACCGTCAAAGTTAACAGGCGCTTACCAAAGATGCACTATGCTGAACGCCCAATCCGCCAACTACCCCGATATTCGCGTGGTGTTCATGACATCATGCCCAACTACGGCTGGAACCTCCAGCCTATCGGCAATCCAGATAGAGAAAGATCTACGCTACGCACCGCGACTCTGAGGAGTCCTCAGGGATATGAAAGACAGTTCCGTATGCTCACAGACAGAAATATGGATTACTGGGAGGGTGGCGGACAGTGGAGCAGATATTTGACACCATATATGGGGCGGAATGGTTGGGGATGGGGACCGCGGTAGACGAATGGGCATTGTTAAGGAGTAGACGAACATGTAATGGGTAGAGGGTAAGAAATGGTGATAGTATATTTGTTGCTTGTTCTCATTAGTGAGTAGTTATGAAGCTTATGTTCATTATTTTTGGTAGGCAATAAACACATGAGAAAGGATCGAAACCTGTGTTCTTATCGATCAGTCTTGAAAAGAATCTCAGTAACGTCTTGATCTACTTCTTTAATTTAGTGTAAATACAAAGAGAAATATCACCGAAAATGCCAACTTATAATCGATCCATTGTTTCTGAGCTCCTTATTCTAGAGTGAGGTAATCTACTCACGGCCATTCACTCTCCCAAGTACGTAGAATGTCCATCCGCCAGTAATCAGCAATCATTGAAACAGAAATCTTTCGACCACTACCTTACAGAAATTATGTGGTCATTAGGACGTGAATATCAAATCTATGCATAGAATTGACACAAGTATCTGAAAGCCATAAGTACCCGTCCACACGGGCTGTTCAACTGCCTTGTAGGCATTCTTCATTCATATCGAACCTACAATTTACGACAGGCCGCTGTTGCTTCGTTAGCATGCATTGCAGATGTGAATATTGAAGGTATCTCAGCAAACGTAGAGCTATATACAAAAATACAGTCTTCTCTCAAATCCGTACACTCGCGTGTTGCACATACGTTAGCCACTTTCCCACTATTCTTCTACAGCGTTACTAGACCTCTTGATACAAGCTATAATACATGCTTACTATAATCTAGGTGGTTATTTCTGGAGCACCCAAAGCAGTTTTAGATTGCTCATTTCATCCATCTGCATAACCGATGGTGCTGACGCTGTGTGTAGTAGGTTTCAACTCTACGCCAAGCATCTGCCTTCCATGCGGCTCTGCACTCGCTGCAACCTGCTATGTCTCGCTTGTGCAACATCTCGGAACTGTTGTTTGCGATGAGAGTTGTGCTAAGAAAGCCCATGTCTTGCTTTCCCATAGGCTCAGCATCCCTGGAAGCCCGCTAGTTGGGCACATTCACGAGTGTCATGGCGAAGATCCATACCCAGCTGGCATATGAACAGGCTTAGTTACTCGCGTTATACCGAGTGGAGGAGTCAGTACGAAAGCAAAGCATTATCTCTACAACAATTAAGAGGAATGTGTCTTTGCGATGGATTACATGGACTCAGAGCGAGTGAGCGTTGAGGGAAATCTACTTACTCCTCTTCTCGCTAGTAATCAACATCGGAAATCCCAGGGTTGTCATAACTGGGTACAAGAAAATCAACGCAACGTACGTCACCGACAGTGTGCTCCTCTCGTGCGAGCCGCTTAGAGGAGAATGGTAGTATAAACGACGCCTAATAAGTAACTAGGCGACTCTAAAGGCACTTTAAACAACCATATTTAGATTGAGCACTAGCGTTTCAATTAGATTCGGCATGTACGATGTACGAGAAGCCGTTGAGGCTGGTGTCGATTTGGAGATTCCAGGTCCAGACCCGTAGAGAGACAAGTAAGGACAAATAGGTGTTCTTTCCAACTACATCCAACTACCAATGAAACATCACACCGAAGCCCCTTATCAAAGATAATATAAAATACATTATACTTTTCCTGTAGCAAGCAGTTGTATAGAGATTGCATAATAACTACCGCAGCTTTCAGGGGCTGCATGAACCTCAACTTCCATAGCATTCGTAGAAAAATTGCGCGAGTCAAGGATGAGCGGTATCATTGGGCCAAGACAAAAAGTCATTTGTTTTGCCGCTTGGTAGCGATTGGCATATTTACATGCCTTGAGGTGCATAGTACTACATGTTGACCATTCACCCTAGTTGTGGGGAAGACACAATCAAAACCGTTGCCATCCTAATCCTGGCTAGGAACTGCATCATTCGGCTCCATCATAATCAAACGCCATCCATGCTATAACTTTACATCTTACTCGATAATTCAATGTCCTATTCCACCGGCAACCCAATTCATGAATTCAGGGTCGTTCGGGTTTGGAAAGAGTCCTCTATCCTGCTGTTGTTCTCCCTGTGGTTGCTGCTGTGGTACTGGTATGCCTTGGTTGAGCTGTTGCTGCTGTTCTTGTTGACGTCTTCGCTCTTCTTCCTGTCTCCGCTGTCTTTGTGTGCGGTAGTATACGAGGAAGGCCAAAGCTCCACTCAAAGCCAGGATGATGAGTGATTCAAGGATATCCGAATCAATGTCATCGCCGTGATAACCATCTCCATAGAAATCGTCACCCGCGTCGTCATAGTCGTCGGGCTCATATCCGTCCCATCCAGCAAGTTCGGCTTCGAGGAAAGCATTTAGCCACTCAGAAAGAGTCCAATCTTTCTTAACAACTAGTACTTGGTTAGTACAAGAAGCGTCGTGCTACGGTCTACAAGCGTGGCTTACCTGGTTCATCCTGGATAGACTTGATGTTACCGTTTGTGAAGGTATTCCACCAACTCCGGATTCTCAATTTGTACAGAGCTAATAGCACAGGCAGATAAGCCTCACGTGGATTTGTTTCCAATGCCATGTCGTAGTGCCTCTTTGCCAAATGGAAGTCCTGGTCAATGCCAATGCCATTCTCGTGCATCCAGCCAAGGTTCCACATTGCCTGCGCGCTTTTCATGGTCTCTGCCGCTGCTTGGTAACACGCTGCTGCTTTCTCTTGATCGGGTGCCGTTCCCAAACCTAGCATATAGTAGTCTCCCATTTTGACCATGGAATCGACATTTTTCTGCTCGGCAGAGCGAGTCCAGTAAACCAAGGCCAAAAAGGCATCGCTTGCTAGCGTAGCTTTCTGTTTCACAAAGGGGAGGAATGAGTTTAATGTAAATCGCGGCTTGGCTTGGTCGAGCAAGTAGGCCACGTTGGCTTGTCCGACCTCGAAACCTTGTTCAGCTGCCAGCATGTAGTTGACAAGGGCTGTTTCTAGATCGCCATTGGCGTATGCTTCATTGGCTTCCGGGAAAGAAGTCGTCACAACCTCAGCCTTCTCTGCGACGAGCTTGTAATACGCAGCTGCCACGGGACAGGACTTGTCACGGCCGACACCGCTGTGTGTCATCTCAGCCAAGTAATAAAATGCTTCCAGATGTCCGTGTCTGGCTGCGAGCTCAAAGTACTTGATGGCGATTAAGACGTCGCCTTGGTCCAAAAATAGGGCGCCGAGCCTGACTTGGGCGACGGCCAGGTCCTGGTCGGCTGCAGCACCAAAGAGCTCTGCAGCCTTGACTGGGTCTTGTGGCACGCCAAGTCCTTTCAGATACATGATGCCCATGGAGTACTGTGACAATGCGTCTCCCAGCTCCATGCCGCGCCTAAACCACGTCTTTGCAATGTCGAAACTCTGGGCCATTCCTTCACCACGCAAGAACATGCGACCAAGGTATCCGGCGGCTTTAGCGGCGAGCTTCTCGGTGGTGGGTGAGACATTGGCGTTTACTTTTCCACTGGGAGTCCAATACATGCGGGCAAGCTCCAAAAATCGCTTCTTAGCCGCTGGAAGGTCGCGCTTCAGAGTTCGTGCACCGTCGTAGTTCAATTTGGCGAGATTGAAAGTAGCTCGTGCGTCGCCTTTGCGAGCTTGGAGGTCCATGTATTCGAACACGTCGTCGAGCGAAGAGAAGGCGTCGGATTGGACGCTGGCCACTTTGGCATTGGACCCGGAACTACTTGCACTTGCGCCCTCGCCGTAAACACCGCCTTCATCGTCAGCAATGTTGTACGACTCTCTTGGCATGGAGTGCCCGCCGGGAGGACCCGACCGCATGTATGCGATGGCCTTCTTGGCCGCCTGTTTGTAAAAGTACACGGCTTCCTCGCAGTTGCGCGGGGTCGATATGCCAGCCGAGTGCCTGTATGCGACGGCCATTTCTGACCGCACGTCTCCGCCTTCGGCGGCCAGCGTGTAGTACAGCAGCGCCTTGGACTGGTCCTGCTTGACGGCGGCGCCAATGCCAGTCGCATACATGAAGCCAACCATGTGTTGTGCCGAGGCGTTCCCGTTCAATGTGGCGAGCTCGCGGTATCTTCGAAAGGCTTCCGAGTAGTTGCGGGGGTGAGTGTAGTTGCCGAAGAAGTTCATTTCGGCGAGCAGGAACAGGGCGTCGGGGTGCTTCTGGGCGGCGGCCTCTTCCAGCAGCGTGACGGCCTGCGACAGCGACTCTCCCAGCTTCGTGGGCTGCGGGTTCGTGGTCAAGAGCTCCTGCTGGGGGGGTCCGTTCATGAACAGGAGGAAGAAGACTTCTTTGGCGTAGTATGCGCTTGCGCCCAGGATGCCCGACTTCTTGTCAAAGTTCCACCATGGCGCCGTTGCCGGCTTGATGTTGCGAAGGAGTGCCATGGCCTCGTCGAAGGCCAAGCCAGCCTGGTGCGTGTTGACGCCGTCATCGTCGTCGCCCCATGCCGACTTCCAGGCCTCTTTGCTCTGTGCGGGCGAGCCCAGCGGCTTCTGGTGGACATGGTCAGCTTCGTGGTCGAGGTGCGACCGAGCGTGGACGGCGAGGAATATCGCAAGAAGAACTACGGGACTAGGCGTCAGTCAGCGGCTCCGTGGGCGGGCTGCACGAGTGCGTACCAAAGAGAAGCGGCACGAGCCGCTGCAATGGGGGCCTCATTGTGGATAAGGGTCGGAGAGCAAAGTACAAGTAGTGACAGCAGCGAGACTCATGGCGTCATGTCGACAGGCGGAAAGGCAGGGTGCGACCACGGGACGCAGTCGTCGTCGTCGGCGTCTTGTTTGGAGAGGCCAGCTTTCCACTATCCACGCTCCGATGGCTGCGCTGGCCAATGAGCGTTGACGTCACCTGTGTCGCATGTCCCTGTCCATGCGCGGCAGCCTCGTCGTCGCCCTCCGCCTGCCCACGCGCTCGCTCGTTTCTTGTCCATGGCCTTTTCCCTCGTCCCACGCCAGCCTCGTCTTCAGCGCCTCGTCTTCAGCGCCTCGTCTTGCATCGCCCTACGGCCTGCTCTTTTCGCGGACGAAAGCCCGCGGCCAACGGCCATGCAATTCCCGCATTTGTCATCCGTCGACGCACTACGGCCCCCTGCGCCTATCACTATGATCCCGCCCTTTGACGCGTCCGACTACGCTGTATAACATCTCCCTGCCTTTTCATCTAGACATATCCCCCTTGATGCATGAGAATCCGCTTGCTGGACCGACACCATGGCCTTCTCCAACCACCCAACGGACCAAGACCCTCTGCTGCCACCATCCCCGTCCCGGGCCTCACCCGAACGAGATGACCAAGATGAGGAACCAGACATCTCCATGTCCCGCGGAGCTTGCATTGTCGCATCGGTCGGTCTGCTCATCTTCCTGCAAGGTATGCCTGGCTGTTTCTCTTCATACGTACCTTCTGAGCCATCCTGGCCACAAGTGCCCTCATGCAATGGCTCTGATATTCATGGCCGTTATCTATCCATGGCCATGCGCCAGATACCAGTCACGTGAATCTCGAATACGCGGCCTAACCATGTACTCCAGGCACAAACATTTCCATCCTTACTACAACGCAATCGTCAATTGCTGCGGATCTAGACGCTTTCGAAAATGCCAGCTGGTTCACTTCGTCGTACCTCATCGCCATGTCTTCTCTGGCCCCCCTGATGGGCAGGCTGTGCCAGGTCTTTAGCCCGCGGTTATGCATGTTCTTCTCTACAATGGCCATATCTATTGGATCCATCGTGACATGCACTTCCATGTCATTTGAGCATTTTATCCTGGGTCGTGTCATTACTGGAGCTGGTGGTGGAGGCATCTTCATCGTCGCTAGCATCATGGCCATCCAGATGACCAGTCCCAAGCGGCGGGGTCTGTACATGGGCCTTGCGAATACAGCAATGACCGTGGGCGTCTCGCTTGGTGCCGTCATTGCTGGGGCACTGGAGCCTAGAATTGGATGGGTAAGCTTTCGTCCATCATTTCTCCCAAATTAGCACAGTGTCATGAGCCCGGCTGACATGCGAAGAAACCGCTTTTTGGTATTCAAGTGCCCCTAAGCTTCATTGCAGGTCTGTGCCTACTATTGTCCATCCCGGCAAGCCACAATTCCAACAGCATCAAGTATACCAACCTCTCCATCCGCGATAAGCTTGCCCGCATCGACTACACCGGGGCTTTGCTGTTGACTGCCACCATCGTCCTCTTCCTCCTTGGTCTGTCTGGCCCAAAAGTTCTCCCGACGCCTATCATCTTATCGGCCGTGGCTCTCCCGCTGTTTGTGCTCAACGAAGCCTATGTGGCCAGCGACCCCGTCATTCCAGTCTCTGTGCTACGCTCTCGTGGAACTCTGCTGACCTGTCTTGCAACGACTGGCTTCATGATGTCTCGGTGGAGTATCCTCTTTTACACTCCCGTGTACTCGCTTGCCATCCGAGGCTGGGCGCCTGCCGTTGCCGGATCCATACTTATCCCAACAAATGCGGGGTTTGCGTGTGGTGGGCTGCTTGCAGGAGTCTTCCACATCAAACGAACTGGAAGCTTCTACCTCCATACCCTTATCTCCATGGCACTATTTCCTATAACCATGGTTGTCCTCGCCTTCATATCAACTCCTACTAGCCCCTGGACTCTGTACGTGGTTGTGGTCTTTTCCAACGGTCTCGCCACTGGAGCAGCTATGAACTATGCGCTTGTCCATCTGCTTCATGTCACACTGCCAGAGGTGCATCCGATTGTCATATCTCTCCTTGCGACGTTTCGCGGCTTTTCGGGTTCATTTGGCTCGGCGATTGGTGGCGGATACTTTGTTCGTGTCTTGCACAAAGCTTTGGACGAAGGGTTCGCGCAATCTGGCTTAAAGAACCGCGGCGAGCTCACAAGAAGGCTATTGGGAAGTCCAGCGCTAGTAAGCAAACTGGATGGTAAAGATAAAGCAGTTGCTGTTGGTGCGTATGCACATGCTATAAAAGCATTGTTCATATGTGCTGTAGGTCTGTCTCTCCTGGCAGTGTTCGTGCAGGCAGGCACTGGCTGGAAGGCGCCGGAACAATCTGAGCAAAGAGAGGAGGAGGCTGAAGTCGAGGGCAACGTACCCACTGGAGCTTGAGTAGTATACGCGTCTTTCTCATATTGGAACCACTACTGTTTAGATCTGGATAGCTAGCATATTCATTATCTTTAAATACAGAACCATTCCTGCTTATGCGTTTTCATATCTTGGAAGCAAAGTAGTGTCTGGTACATCTTTCGGCTAGCATTCGGCTAGACTCAATTCCATCACAGCATTACACCCTCGAGCCAAAGCTACTATCATATATGCCTGCATATTGAGCATATAACAGCGCCACTTATCCCCCTTCACCGTGTTCTCACACCTTCTTCTGGGTGATGTGTCATGTGATGCAGTTGCCCGTGATACGTGAAAATGCACATCTCACCGTCACTGCGTCATTTCGATAGCTTTCACCTGCATCGCCCGGGATTTGCCGGCCTGGCCTCGATTGTTTGCTTTCCTTGGCATGGCGGCTGCCCGTAGACAACCTCTCACTGTTTGCCTCCACCTCTCTTTCCCCACCTCACATCTTTTCGACAACAACGTGCGAGGTCCAACGAACCATCGCTAGACGGTTGCCATCTCGTTGACTATCTGCAACGCATCCTGCAGTTGCACAGTGTAAGTCCATCTCACATTCATAGCGCATAGCCTTGTGCTATTTACTTCAAGCATTTGATCTCCATCTGGTGTGATTCACGTCACTGTTACCTCTTGCCGCAGACACACAGCTGACGTACTTCAGGCAGACTTGATTCATTGCTCTCTGATCAATTCGGCATCATGGCTCGTGTTTCTATTGTCTCGGGCATGGCTTCCAATCCCTATCCTAAACCGAAGGAACATGTCCCGCGCTGGACCCACTGCGAGCTGTGCGACCGCCAGCTGCCCACCAAGGACTGGCACACTCATAAGAACTCCAAGAAGCACCGCCAAGCTGAAGCCAAAGAGCGTGAGCAGCTCGAGATGGCAGGTAGCTCAACCACCTTTGGTGGCGAGGGTATGGACTCCAACACCAACAACGAATCTGCCAACGTCAACGACTTCGGTTTTGGTGATACCTTTGGTATTGATACCACTGCTGGCGATGGTGGATGGAGTACTGGCGACGGCTTTGCTACGACCAAGTCCAATGGCTACAAGAACGGCGGTGGAGGTGACCAGCGTTCCTGCTACGGCTGCGGTCAGACTGGTCATCAGAAGCGCGACTGTCCTCAGGGCTCCACTGGTCAAGCTTGTTACAACTGCGGCGAGTCTGGGTATTGAACTCCGATACCTACTAGAAATCCTATACTGATATTTATTTAGTCATGTCAAGGCCGATTGTCCCCACCCTCGAAAGCCTATGGCCGGCGGCGGTGGAGGGAGTGATCGTCTATGCTTCAACTGTAACCAGCCTGGGTATGTGTTGTCTTGCTTCTCATGGGCTGAGCATCAATTCTATGTCTTACACATGAAGCACTCAGACGTCTTTGGCGTTCGCTGACCTTTGTCTAGCCACAACAAGTCTGATTGCCCCGAGCCTCGCGCCGGTGGAGGCGGCGGCGGCGGACGTACCTGTCATAATTGCGGAGAGGAGGGCCACATGTCCCGCGACTGCGACAAGCCCCGCGTTATGAAGTGTCGTAACTGTGATGAAGAGGGCCACACTTCTCGTGAGTGTCCCAAGCCCCGTGACTGGAGCCGAGTCAAGTGCCGCAACTGCAACCAGTATGGCCACGGCGAGAAGCGCTGCCCCGAGCTCCCGGCTGAGACCACTGGTGGTGACTGGGCCGACGCTGGTGGTTCAGCTGCTGCATCTGCTGCGGCTGGTGGATGGGCCGACTCTGCAACTGAGACGAGCGGAAACTGGGCAGACGACACTACTGCTGCTGCAGGCAACAATGATTGGGGCGATGCAGCTGCTTCCTCGGGCTGGTAAACAGCACCAGTGGCTTCGTGCGCTTGTTCGCGATGATATTTCAGCTTCGCCAACATACGCGGTTCTTCGAGATGTGTCGTACTCAGCACGGCAGTGGTGGATTGGGGGTGTATTCGAGGCCCAGTGGAGCTCACCACGGGCGGTCAGGTCAAGGTAGAAGCGGTGAGAGTATCCGTGGATGTGTACAATCCCTCGAAGCATAGCACGGTCATGTAGAGCTAGGTAGTCAAGACGTATGACACCCGCTCCAGGGATGTACTTATGGATTCAAGATGCACACGTCTTATGCACGGATGACTGTCTTTGTAGCCAGATGGCAATGGGTATATGGAAGTTGTGACCGAGAGATTGATGGCAAAGTGTTGATTACACTAATGTACAACAGGTGTCTGAGAGGGACGCGTCAAGAGACAAGAGTGTGGCAGTAGGTGAGAAGAAACGATTCAATGAAGGACATGATCTAATGCATCTAGGTAAAATTGACTTTTGCACGCCTGCCTTACGCAAGACCCAGCCGCAGACTAACGGCTCGTCGATGAGCCTCCAACTCTTCGACACGGGCAAGCTCCATGACCGAAGGACCGACATTCTCGAGACCCTCCCTGGTAAGATGGGAGCTTGTAATGTGCTTGACGTACGAAGCAAGATTGACACCCGAGTACTGTTTGGCATAACCATATGTTGCTGTTTCAGGCGCGGTTAGTAACTTGTCTGTGTATGAGAGCCCGAGTCAACGAAGAGGAAAGGAACAAAAGGAACAACTTACGCAGAGAGTGATTAACGCCAGCAGAGTAGTCACCGACACTTTCTGGAGTCCACTGGCCGATGAATACACTTCCGGCATTTTCAACCATTTCGGCCACTTGTTCGGCATTGTCAACTTGCAGGATGAGGTGCTCAGGTGCGTATTGGTTGCTTAGCTGCATGGCTTCTTCCATGGTAGCTACTGCGAGCGTGAACGAGTGCTCAATGGCACCACGGACAATGTCTACACGTGGTAGAGCCATGGCCTGCTTGTGCAACTCGTCTTCAATGGCGATGAGCTGGGCTTCGTTGAGACCGACGGCGATCAGAATGACTTGCGAGTCGACGCCGTGCTCGGCCTGGCTGAGAAGGTCAGAGGCAACAAAAGCAGGGTTGGCAGATGCATCGGCAACGACGAGGACCTCGCTTGGCCCCGCAGGCATGTCGATGCTGACGCCAGCGTTTGTGTCGTTTGAAACGTGCATCTTTGCGGCCGTGACAAACTGGTTGCCAGGGCCTAGAATCTTGTCTACCTTGGTTACGCTCTCTGTGCCGTAAGCCATGGCCGCGACGGCTTGCGCCCCGCCAGCGAGAACAATGGACTCTGCGCCCACCTTGTGAGCAACGTATACGACTTCAGGAGTCACTTTTCCGTTGGACCTGGGCGGTGTGGCGAGCACAATCTTCTTGCAGCCAGCTACCATGGCGGGTACACCCAGCATGAGTGCCGTAGAGGGAAGCACGGCCGTACCGCCTGGCACGTACAACCCTACTCTCTCAATGGGGCGCGCAAACCGCGAGCATACGATTCCAGGCATCGTCTCCACCCTGAGAGGCTTATCCTCTTTTTGTGCAGCATGGAACTTTCTGATGTTTTCAAAAGACACATCAATGGCTTTTGCAGTCTCGGGGGCTAGCTGCATGAGCTCTGGAGGGAAGGGCGCCTTGAGAACTGGCGAAGTCAATGATGTTGCCTTTTCAAACTTGTGCGTGTACTCTAGCAATGCAGCATCGCCACGCGTCCGAACAGCTTCGATAATGGGCTTGCAAATGGCCAGGATCTTATCAGTTGATCTCTGAGATGGTCGCTGTAGCGCAGCGGCAATGGTCTCTGGAGTTTCGTTTGCGGTAACGTAGCGTCGCATGGCGATGCGACCGTCCTTTGTACCGGCTGGGTCGTCGTGGCTCTTGGGTATCGAGGCAGCCTCCTTGACCATTTCCTTGGTGCTCGAAGAAGCATTGGTAGTACCATTAGTCGCTGCTGCTTGCGCGGCAAACGCTGGCTTTGCATCACCCTGCCGCCTCTTGACCTTGATACTTTTGGCATCCAGGTTACGCTCGACGTCTTCTAACGACACTCCAGCAGCGATGCACCTGGTCATGACGAAATAGAAGAGATCGGCAGCCTCGAAGGCGATTTCTTCCTTGGTCTTGGCATCGCAGAGCTCGGTAGCTTCCTCGAGAATCTTTGCTCTCAGTAGCTGTGGGTCATTGAATAGGCGGGCGGTGTAGGAGCCTTCTGGGGCTGTTTCCTTGCGACTTTGGAGTGTCTTCTGTAACTTGGACAGGCCGCTGTAGTCGCCAAAGCACGTGGGAGTCGCAAGGTGGCAGAATCCGCGACCCTTTTGCCGGACGACAAACTGCAAGCAGTCGCTGTCGCAATCTAGCGATAATGAAACAAGCTCTTGGACATCGCCACTGCTCTCGCCCTTGTACCACAAACCCCGCTTTCGACTTTGGTATACGCCCCGCCCTGTCCTCAGACTCTCTGTCACGCTCTCCTCGCTGCTGTATACAAGCCCGAGGGCAACGTGGCGCTCGTCGGTTACGAGTGTCGTGAAGAGGCCGTCGGGGCGGTCGCTGGTTGCGTTGGCCATGAGCAGCTTGGCGACGCTCAGTGCGCCGGACTGTTTCGCCGGGTCGACGGTGAGTTTATCGGCAGGAATGATGGGGATTGCAGGCAGTTTGGCGAGCCTCAGCGCGCTCTCCATGTCCGGGTTCGCGAAGGAGACGAAGGCAGTGGTCTTGGTGTCTTTGAGTGCTGCATGGACCTGGTCAATGTCGTCGACGTGGTGCAGGTAGACACTGGTGTGCACGGTGGAGGCGCCCTCGGCCATGTCGGCTGGCGCATTGCCTGGCAGACATAGCACTGTCCTGTCCGGGTCGATGTTCAGAGTGGCAAGCTGGTCGAGTTGTTGGCGGGTGACGAAGACCTTTGCGGCGCCAGCATCAAGGAGCGAGACGACGTCGTCAATGGAGGCGAGGGAGGCGACATGGAGGTAGTTGGCGACGCGGCCGACCGACTGCTTGAGGTGGGCGAGGGCGTCATCGACGTTGTCACGGGTGGCTCGAACGAAGACATTGCCGACAAACGAGAGGGCTTGGTGGTTGTGGGCGAGGGCGAGGGCGGGCAGGTCAACGGCAGCAACCAGGGCGGGCGCCATCATGTGCGACTGTGTGTTTTGCGATTGGTAGTGGGATGCGCACAATTCGCGGCGGCACAGAGTTTGCGATGCTGATACGCCGTCCGACTAGGCCATGGCATGAGTCGGAGGGCTGGAAAAAGTCTAGACGCCAGCCAAAAGAACTGCTGCGGGGTCGCCATCGCCATGACGACCCCTCCCCCACCCTCCGCCTGTGCCTGCGCCTATTCCCACTCCCACTCCCACTCCCAAGCCTCTTCCTTGGCCGAGAGCAGCCACGCGCGGGCGCTTGACCGTCCACAGCTCCTTTCTTTTGGTCCTTTTTCTTTTCTTTTGCACGCTGCTTACGGGTTGAGCATGAGGCACAGCATTCCGCGCGCTCTCGCAGTACTTACCTCGGCCATCCCTCAGCCATGACAGAGACAAACCCGACTCGTCCACCCACCACACCCGACGAGATGCCTGTTGATATTAATGCGCCTGGCGCGTCAGCCCGTGGAAGATCGGACATGCCGCAACCACCAGCACATTGGCCTGGGTAGCTGCCGCCAAGACTGGCCCGTTCGTACAGCTACAACAATGCCCCTCCTGCAACAGCCCTAGACCTGGTTGCTCCGCCATCCAAGACGTCCGGCCCTTCCGCAAGATAACCGTCATGCTCTTGCCCACACAGTTAAATACCGCCTGTATCCGCCTGGGACAGTGAAGCGAACCTGATCTCAACTTTAGCCCCTTCACGCCGTCACCACCACTAGCTATCCGCAGCCATGTCCTACTCTCCACCAGCTTCTGCCAAGCCATTTACGCTCCACGTCTCGGACCACGACCTGTCTGAGTGGAGGCAGCTCCTCCAGCTGTCCAAGCTTGCCCCCGAAACATGGGAGGGGCACCAGCAAGACCGCCGCTTTGGCGTTACCCACAAATGGCTCTCCGAGACAAAGGACTACTGGCTCAACAAGTACGATTGGCGTGCAGCTGAAGCACACATCAACTCTTTCTCCAACTACAGGATGCAGATTGAAACCGTTGACGTGCATTTCGTTGCTCTGTTCTCGGAGAAGAAGGATGCCATCCCCATCATCCTCATGCATGGCTGGCCTGGGAGTTTTATCGAGTTTCTGCCAATGCTCAAGTTGGTGAAAGATAAGTATTCGGCAAAAGACCTGCCTTACCACTTGGTCGTGCCATCGCTGCCGGGATACACTCTCAGTACTCTGCAATCCACAAAGGACAAGTGGACGATGAAGGACACTGGCCGTGTCATGAACCAGCTGATGCTGAACCTGGGCTTCAGCAAGTATATCTCACAGGGAGGAGACGTGGGTAGTTTTATCACGCAAATCCTGGCTGCAAACTATGATGAGTGCGTGGCATTGCACAGTAAGTTGAATTCCGCGCGCTAGCCTAGTACTTGGTGCGATACTCACGTGTCTAGTGAACTTGGCGTCCCGTACTTCGGAACCAGACGCGAACACCGTCATGACCCAAGTAGAGCAAGAGGCGGTTCAACGTTCTAAGACGTGGTACAAGTATGGTACCGCTTACGCTCAGGAACATGGCACGAGGCCGAGTACCATTGGCAACGTCCTAAGCTCGAACCCACTCGCCCTCTTGGCATGGTACGTGTGGCCAAGCTGTCGTGGTGTCGCGTTGCTGTATGCATGCTCACGTTGTGCAGGATCGGCGAGAAGCTGTTGGAGTGGACAGATGAGGATCCTTCGCTCGACGACATCCTGACGAATATTTCGCTGTACTGGTTTACCAGTTGCTTCCCTACTACTCTTTACCCGTACCGCGCATTGTTTGGCGAAGATAGCATGGATCTTGGACCGACCAACAAGCCGTTCGGGTACTCCTTCTTCCCCTACGAGCTGAGGCCGGGCGTCAAGAGCATCTTGGAAAAGGAGACCAACCTTGTCGCCTACAAGGCCCATGAGCGGGGCGGGCACTTTGCGGCCTTGGAGCAGCCACAGGCGCTCTTGGAGGATGTCGAGGAGTTTGCCCAACAGGTCTGGAAGGTATGAAGTGGTCAATAGTGCCAGTGACAGGGGCGCAGCAATGACGGGCGGACATAGGGATCCAAGGCCGCCTCGGCCGCAGCATCGAGGCTATAATAGCTGGACAGCATGCCCACACCTGTTTTGGCCAAGGTGCATAGTGGGAATACGTGGCCCCTGTACTTAGGCATCCCAATGGCCCAAGATGGCTCCCTCTCGCTCACACACAGACACGCAGTAGTGGTCCTGTCGCTCCGGTGTTCTAGTCGACCACCACGTGCCCAGCGTATAAATAAAGAGATTTTTTAGCCAGTGACGGCACACACAGACACCGGGTGCTGCATCTGCCCGTGTGCGACGCAGCGCGTGCAACAAACGTGTTGCATGCGCGTCCTTTTTCATTGGACTGCCCATGGCCGCTTGCAGTGGCGGGTTTCGTGCGCAACTCGGCTAGCCTGCCTCGACTCATGACGCAACCTGCATCTTCCCCACCTCTTACTCCTCCTCTCCTACTCCCTTCTGGCCACCACACTAACCAAAGCCACACGCCCCATCTCGTCTGCACCAAGTGCCGGGCCGCTCTACCTGCTCCTGGCATGTCCCCAGTAATACCCCGCTCCCATGTTGCTCTCCGCAATGCTCGTCGGGAGCATCCACCTACAGTACGCTGTCTTCTCTGGGGGGCACACGAGCAGCGCGCGTCTTCGGCGCTGGCAGCAAGGCGACGGCCTGCAAACCTCGCCACTCGCCTGGCCCTTCTTGGGCGCTTCCTCCACCTAGCGCCGCCGTTGGCCATGCGGTCGGTAGATTTTGACATCGGTTTATTATGTCCGCCACGGTGCTACAAGTAGCTCTCCCATACTCGCCCGGCCCCTGCATCCATCCACGGCGATCGCTACCCAGTCCAGACAGTGGCTTCGCTTTTATCCCTTCCGACCAACCCAGGGCAGAGCGCTAACAATGTTCCGTCACCCGAGATGTAGGTCCGGGACAACGATAAAAGCCAAGGTTGAGTCCCAGGTTTTTCCAGCAGAGCCCAGAGCAGTCGTCCTTCACTATCAATTTCTCAATCACTCTCGACATGAGGCTCCAGAAACCGCTAAGTGCCATGCTGCTTGGCACATGCCCCGTTCTTGCATATCCACAATGCCCGTCCAATGGCACAGCGCCTGCCGACTTCAGCGCAAACTGCGCCGACCTCGCCTCCAAACTCGTTATTGATGGGGGTGTTGTTCATGCTGTAGAGCTCATCACGGCCGACACAAACTTCAGTGCCCCCATTTACAACCAGACGTGCGCCGATGGGTCTCAATTCCAAGTCATGTCCGTCGACATGTGCCGCGTTGCCGTCTACGTCTCAACCTCTGAGCGATCAGGCTTCAACATGGAGGCATGGCTACCATCCAACTATACTGGCCGGTTCCTTGCCACTGGCAACGGCGGTCTGAATGGATGTATGGATTTCTCCAAATTGGGATACGCGTCCAACTTGGGCTTTGCTGCTATAGCCACCAACAATGGGCACAATGGAACAAATGGTGACCCCTTTTATAAAAACCCGGACGTCGTCGAAGACTTTGCATACCGAGCGTAAGCTTCAATCCCCCTCCCCCCAGCCCGCGGACCGGAGCTAATGACTACAGTCTGCGTAACGGTGCCAAGGTCGGAAAGCAAATTACCCAAACCTTTTACGGCAAGCCACAGGACAAGTCTTACTACCTTGGATGTTCAACAGGTGGTCGCCAAGGCTTCAAAATGGCCCAGGATTTCCCGGGTGAATGGGACGGCATCCTTGCCGGAGCCCCTGCAATTGCTTTCGACAATCTTACGTCGTGGTCTGGTTCTTTCTATACCATTACTGGCCCGCCCGACGCTCCAACCTTTGTCACCTCAGCACAATGGGCTCAAGTCGAAGCTGACGTCATGAAGCAATGCGACACAATTGACCATTACAAAGACGGTATCATCGAGAACCCCTTGCTTTGCAAGTACGATCCCTCGGGCCTTGCGTGCAGTCCAGGCAGCAACTCTACTACCTGTTTGACACCCGACCAATTTGCTACCGTCAAAACCACCTTCTTGCCGCTCCGAAACGACCAAGGCGACCTGGTTTATCCGGCCCTACAGCCAGGTGCTCAGGCGGTTGCCGCCTTTATCATTTTCACAGGAAGACCCTTTCCCTACACCACTGACTGGTTCCGCTATGCCCTCTACAATGACCCAACCTGGGACCCTGCAACCCTAGGCTCCAAAGACTACGACAGGGCCGCACAGCTCAACCCCTTTAACATCCAGACATTCAATGGCGATCTGAGTGGTGTGAAGAACAACGGTACCAAAATCCTGCACTGGCACGGCGGCGCCGATCCTGTCATCTCGAGTGAAAACAGCGCTCGGTACTATGAACATGTGCGTAAAACCATGCAACTAGCACCCGAAGAACTGGACGAGTTCTACCGCTACTTCATCGTCAGCGGAACCAGCCACTGCGCAGGAGGAGTTGGTGCGCATGCCATTGGACAGGACGAGGGCGAAATCAATGGCTATGACCCCAAGCACAACGTCCTCATGGCTTTGGTGGATTGGGTAGAGAATGGTAACGCGCCTGAGACTATTATCGGTACTAAATTTGTCAACGACACACAAGCTCTTGGTGTTGAGTTTGAACGCGCGCACTGCAAGTTTCCCAAGAGCAACCAATACAAAGGCGAGGGCGACCCTACTCTTCCAGAGAGCTGGGAGTGCGTCGAGAAGGAGATGGTGGTGCCGCAGTAAGGCCTTTTCTTGCATACGGAGAGATTGTATATATATACAGTAAATATTGCAGACATACCCTTTTCAACCATAGGGTTTACTGTCTGCTGTTCATGGTACATTATTCCTCAAAATCTTATTACACGTTCCACTCTCAACCGTATCATGCTCTCGTTAGCCAACTTGTGCATTCCAACAGGTGGCGAACAAAAAAAGGACCAAAGGTCAAAAGATGATGATGCCTATCGGCAGTACTCCGACAGGCCAGTTTTCCAAGACATTCGCACTCCTTGCTGACAATTGAGTTAGTGCTTCACCTGCCCCTCAGTAGAGCTAAACCGTGCAACAGATTCCAGGGTGCATGTTGTTATCAGCATCTTCTTCCTCTTCTTGCATGTAGTCAGTATTGCTGCTATTTCTAAATCAAGACAACAGTCCACTTCCGTCTCAGAGCTGCCGCCGCTCTCGGCATCTTCTGGGATGTTTGGACATTTGATCCATCTACCATGCGGCTGTTTTTACTCGGGACTGGATCAATCATTCTATGATATCAAGAGGTCAGTAGAAAGCAGAGCCATAAAGAGGAGCTACATGCTGAATCTAAGTCTTCTGAATAGACTGGCGAGAGGGCTTGCTGACTGTTTCACCCCTGAAGCAGCCAGGGAAGCTATCCAAGCTTGCAAAATGTCCAAGTCGCATGTTTCGACGACGTCGAAGAAGCACAACGCTAGCATGCCTCGGACCGCTCAGCCGCACTACGTCATCCCGCTGCACCACACGGTTGGGTTGTGAAGACCTTGGCGTAAGCAGAGCAGACCAGTGCTGGAGCCCCTCAGGTTTTGCAGCATGGGCCAGGGGCAACTCCCCTTGACAGCACAGTGCAGCATAATCATTGGTGCAAGTGGTATCGGCAAGAACCTGGACATCCGCCTTGCTAACATGCATGGACGAACTGCACGAGAAGGCTGGGGTGTGGGCGTGGATGAAAAGGAAGTGCGTCCCTATGAGGAGGAACATGGAGATGCAACGACAGAACACGATTGCATGTACAACCAATCGGCAAAAGAGAAGGAGAAGGTTCCTTTGCTCCGGTCTACAGTAGGACGTTGTTGAAGCCGAGTGCCATTCACTGAGTTAGTACTTATCAAGCGAAGACGGCAACATCGGCCTAGAACAGCGCCACCGGCTTCCTGACTCGCCAGGGTTGCATGCGAGTAACGGGTGATTCGTGCGAAGAAGAGCAATGCTGTCAGCATATAGTGTAACGTATGTGGCAAGCGAGCGCCGCAGGCAAGCGAGCGCCGCACCCCACTAAATCTGCGCACCTCTCCTATCTCAACAAACAATGTCTTAACGTAGCGCTACTCTTTTACCTTTAAATAAAGTAGATACTTAGCTTACTATTTCTTTTATTAATCTCTATTAAATATAAAGTAATTATTGCGCTACTGCTATCTATAACGTGTCTAAACGAACAATCTACCGCTAACGCGCTAGTATACCTACCTAACGTAATTGCTAGCCTAACTTAAAGAAGCTTACTAAGCTAGAAGAGGAGGTAATAGTTAATTATATACTTAATCTTAATTCACGTGGATTTGCGCCTACGTATACTGCTATGCGCGATATAGCTAATAAGCTGCTAGCTGCGCGCGGCGCTAGCTAGGTTAGGTAGAAGTAGCTAGCTAATTTTATTAAGCGTATAGACAGTCTTATAACGCGTTTTAATTAAGTGTATAATAGGCAGAGAGCTCTATGTAAAGATCTAGTCCTAATTAAGAGCTAGTTTAAGCTTGTAGAGTAGACAAAGGCTAAGTATAGCATCTATAATAAGGACGTCTATAACTTTAATAAAGCTAGCTTTATAATAGGCAAGATTGTAACTTAGCTAGTTGTAATAGCGTTAGAGAGGAGAGGCTAACTAAAGGCAGTTAAGCTAGGCAATTGTGGGTAGGTGACGCTAATCGCAGCGATTAACGCAGCTAGCTAGGCAGTTCTACTATTCCTTATCTTTGCTAGCAAATATCACCTATCTGCCTAGTACGAGGAAGCAGAGATCCTACGTGACTAGGCAATTGCAGTTAGCAATAATAGCTAGACAAACAATAAGCTAGGTGTTGCTTAGCTAAAGCACTTTAATGCTTACACAAAGACTCGCGTTATTAGCACACGTCGCCTACTTGTTCTTAACAGCTATAAGAGCTACTAGTCTCTTAAGTTTTAAGAGCTTTATAAAGAGAATAATATTTACATACTCTATATACCGCCACATTTCTCTTACCTACTTTAACCTCTTAACGTTAGCTGCTTCTTGCCGTTAAAGCGCGCGTATAGCTATAAGGTAGAGAGCCTAATACGCAACTACATTAACTACATTACTAAGCTTAAGTTCCTACTAGCGTTTAAGGCAGCCTTTAATTAATCCTTTACACTAGCTAATATCCGCTTAGCCTTTTAAAGTGCAGGCTTTATTGCTCTTTAGCTAGACGCTGTTCTATTAAAGCTAGACATAAAGCTGCGCACGCCTACTCCTCTAGTAGCTGCTGTCGCAGAGGCTCTCTAGCAGGCTTGTACCCTAAGTAACCTACGCAAGTGTTACTTGTAACAAGAAGGATTCTCTCCTTGACGCGGGATGACGAGGTTGAGGGCCAACCACGCCCACGTCAGAAGGTAATGGCTATCGCGGGGCTTAGAGTCACGTGATGTGCCATCCCGCCAAGGCTGGCCATCTGGGATGGCAGCGCACCAAGGGATGGCAGCGCCATCCCCAACCTCCCGCTAGGATGGGATGGATGGGATAGCAGGACCTGAAGCAATGAGTATAAGAATAGGTTAGATTTCATTATTACACTCGTTGTGGTCAACTTAGAATAGTTTATCCCTTACCTAGATTAATACTAGTTATTCTATCTTAGTATAGAATTAATTGTTTACTCTTTAGTTAAATCCTATAACTCTTTTCTACACAACACTCGCCAAACAATCTTATAAACTACCGCTTAGTCTGCTCGCCCTAACCTAGATCAAGACTAGAGAAGTATAGCCGACCCTCGTGTAACACTTTAACCACTACTAAGTTTCTGTGGAAGGATTAACTAATAGTACGCCTAATTAAGATTTAACATGTCTTATAATTACTCTTAATCACAGGCTAGTACCAGTAAACTAGTTAAAGGTCCTAGACTAGTGCTAAACCTAGCAATTAATAATAAGATGCTAACTCTAAGTAACGACAAGGACAATAAAAACGCGCGAAACTTACAAGAGTTGCGGAATTTTAGGCAACAGGCCACAATCTATGCGTAGCAAATAGCTAGCATATAAGACATAATTAATTAGCTTTTAAGTTAGCTAATAGCCACCGTAAATAAGAAAAAGCCCGTTATAAAGCCCAAGATAGCGGCACCTAAGAAGTTTAATAGAACCCACACTAAACTATAGACATTCCTTACTAACATCCACCTATACTGCGAGTATAACAGAGTACTAATAGACTAGAATAAGATCCTTATAACAAGTACCTATATAAAAGGCAGGGCAGCTAAGTAGATAGAACCCTATGTTAAGGACTTCCTAAAAGACGTAGACAACCTAGAAACTAAAAGCAAAAAGTAAGGAATATTTAGAAACTAGGACAACTTTAAGAAGGAAATAGGATAAATCTTTAGAGAAATAGACAAAAAGAACTAAGCAGAGAAGGCAATTACTTACTTAAATTAGACTAAGTTAGTCTTAGCATACATAGCAGAGTTTAAACAGCTATAAGCAAGAATTAATTAAGATAATGCTGCGCTGCGAACTGTGTTTAAGAGTAGTCTAAAGGAAAATATTAAAGACAGTCTTATACACTATAAGAAGCTAGAAACACTTTGCGCTCTAATAGAGCTAGCTACGCGAATTAACTATAGGCTATAAGAATAATACAAGCAAAAGAAGCGCTTATTCTAGCCTACTCTAGCTAATACAAGGAAGCTACACTATAGTAAAGATAAAGATAGCAACACTATTATAATAGGCAAGGTGCATAAAAATAAGAACTAGAACACCTAAAAGAAGGGCTAGGATAGTCTTTCTAAGGAAGAACGCTAGAAGCGTTACGATAACAAAGCATGTCTTTAATATAGCAAATAAGAACATTTTGCTAGAGAATATATAAATAAAGTTAAGCAAGGCTAGGTTAAGATTAGGATAATTAGGTGCGGAACACCTTACCTACAGGAAATAGAACCTAATAATACGCTAAGCGACATAGAATTATACAAGGAAGCATAATAAGAGTTAGATAAGGCTTTTAAGATAGTACAAAAAGCTATAGAACTAAAGGACTTTAAGTAGGACAACCTACTACCTATAGATTATAGGGTTAAAAGGGTAGAAGTACAACGCTGCCTAAGAAACTAACTATGCTAAATGTGCGAAGATGCTACATACTAGGCTAATAATTGCGCTTTTAAAGACTAAATTATTATTATAAGACTAAACTTTAAAGAGATTAGATATTAAGCGGTTTACGAGCAACCTAGCTTTAGAGACCCTAAAGCAGAAGTTAAGGAAGAGAGTACTCGCACATTTAAAGAACAAATAAAGCAACATAAACACTGATATTAGGTTAAATATAAGGTATAGTGCGACTATTACCAAAGGAAATAAGAAGAGACTAGGGACAATAAGGATAAATGCTGCTATTGATACTTATAGTATAATAAGTGCTAAGTAGCTAGATGCTACGTATATATATAAGAAAAACAGCAAGCACATTAGGAACTATGCTAGTTCTAGTGTAAGGATAAATGCAACTACTATAAGAAGCAATAATAGAATGCTAGGAAGGTAGACGACTTCTACTATAGCACAATAATAGTGTAAGAATATATAATAAGGAACTATTGCATGCATCGCTAAAAGACGCTAAGAGTAATAACAACTTAGATGCAAGCTATGTTGGCAGCGACAGCGGGACTAGTTCCCTATAAGTATATGCATTAGTCCTTTTGCTATAACTATGCATGCTAAGCACATTA